AAAAAGAAAAGAATTGGAGCGGTGTTTCCCCTTGAGCCTCATTAAGTGCCACAGTATGCGCTGCGCGCAGCGAAATGAAAAACAAAAACGAAAAAAGAGGTCGGCACGGCAGCACATTGTAGTGTTTACGGCAGCTTAGGCCCAGGTCTCGGGATGTGGGCGGACACAATGGGCGTATCCCATTCCACAAAAGCAACCCAACCTACGGATATGCAAGGGCCAATGCCGTCGCCCGCGATATCTTTAGTGCGGGGGTTGCGGGACACACGGCAGCGCCAACGGCAGCACCTGCATGGGAAAATGGGGGGGGATATGACGCGGCCCAGCCAAAAAAGCACAAAGAGACTCTTGCGGTCTACCTACGTTACACACCCCTGGACTACCTATTGCAATGGCGTGGCGGGTAAGTCGGCCCATCCAACGCCATCACTGACGCTCTGTTATGGGCTTACGTGTTTGTTGGCCGCCGTTTGTGCAGTTGTCGCAGTGCCGGCACATAGCAGGTGGGGTGAAAGGGAAGGGTAGTCGGGGACATGGGTTTGAGAGTCTGCCACCCGCGCCGGTACGGGAGGATGGGGGGAGGAAGGGAATGTCTCCAAGATAGATGTAGTAGATAAATGTGTAGAGTCCCCCCTCTTGATCTGCTTCGGTATTGGGATTCTTAATGATTGAATTACATCTGTCGAGCTTGCTTTGTCAGAGTTTTTCTTGGCTAGACGTACCGACTTTCAACAACTCGCCGCATACTCGCGCTGTAGGACCTGGGGAGGAAGGAACCAAACGCTCTCACTCTCCGTTCGACTGCCTGCTTGCCGCCGCAGTACACCTTTAATGGCATTTTGCCCAGACAGAAAGGAAGTGACAAGGAATTAAGCCACCGCAATTTCCAGGATTTCGAAGCGTTTCTCCCAAAAGTTCACCACACAGGGAGACGGCTCAGGACTTCTTGAGCTTCAAAGTCGACATTAGCTGTTCAAGGGGGGAAACAGCCAAGATGCAAATCGCACGCCTTCTCTCGACGATAGTTGTCGGTCTCACTATTGCTCAAGCCACCCCGATCCAAGACAAGACTTCAGCCTCAATCCCCGAGGTGAAAGAGCGGAAAGAGTCACGGAGCAAATCGCCCAAGTACTTTCAGGAATCAGAGTAAGTCATCAGATACTCTCGTCCAATTTCGCGGCTGCTTCGATACTTTTTGCGACGAGATTTGAGATGGGATGAGAGAAGCGACCGAGCGTCTCCTTCCCGAAACTCTAATAATAAACAAGATCACCAATCCTGGTGAATTATTCCACAACTTCCAACGGTTTGCTAATCGGCTCATCCAGCTTCTCGATACACTACGACGCGCGCTTCGCCACAAAACAACTGAACGAGACAGCCCAACGCGAGGCCGTCAGGGTCCTGGTCCAGACCTACCTCTCCACCCTGCGCGACCTCGGCGTGCAGACGTGGCTCATGCACGGTTCCCTACTGGGCTGGTGGTGGAATAAGCAGACCCTCCCCTGGGACTCGGACGCCGACGTCCAGGTCACCGAGAACGGCATCAACTTCCTCGCCGCCTACTACAACATGACCACCTGGTACCACAAGTACCCGTCCGTCCCCAACGGCCGTGTCTTCCAGCTTGAGGTGAACCCAAACTACGTCTACCGCGGTCAGGACAGCTTTGACGAGGACAACGTCATCGACGCCCGCTGGATTGACATGGACAACGGCCTCTTTATCGACATCACTGCCGTCTCTTACGTCGAGGATCACCCCGAGGGCAAGGGCGTGTTGGCGACCAAGAACGGCCACGAGTTCCGTGATACGTATCTGTATCCCTTGCTCGATACCACCTTCGAGGGTGTTAAGGCCAAGATTCCCTACAAGTACAAGGATATGCTCATTTCCGAGTATGGAGAGAAGGCGTTGACAAATCAGGAGTTTATGAAGTAAGTCATCAAATGGAATCATTTCCTGGGTAGCCGTCAGTTGTTAACGTTCTTCTTCAGCCATAAATTTGTCGACAGCAAAATGGAATGGGTTCCTACTGATGAACTCTGAGCCATGAGCTTTAGGCGGTTGTACGATTCTCACAGATAGGTTCAAGGGCGAAGACTTTTGGGCCACTATTTCGGACAAAGTGTCTGTCATTAGAACTAAACGATTTCCATTGGTGGCGTTAGGGAATACCCAAAGCTCTGATTTCGACAGAAAAAATACCAATTTTGGCCACGAGCCTAGTACTTCAACACAATCTGATCATGCATGCTTGCTTCGCGAATCAGACTACTCTTCACGTTTCCTGCTCAGTCCATGGTAAGAGCCTCCACCTCGGCAGTAGCATGGCCGCCTTCTACCATATGGCTGTTCTTCTTGTAGTCGGCAGCGTTCATCTTTTCGAGTTTCTTCCGGGTATCCGAGGTTTCGCCTCCAGCACATCCGTCCACAATCTTCTCTAGATTGGCTCGTAGAGCGTTGAGGTGGACAATCAGGGGGCATTTCATGCCCCGGCTGCAAGTATGCGGGATTTTGCTAGTCATATCGGTGACACGCTGAGCAATCGTCGAAATTGTGGTGTCCTTCTGTGTCATGACATCGTCAGGCCATAGCCGGTGAAGTTTGAGGATGCTGAAATACTCGCCGATACGAGAGCTTTTCGTGCAGATTTCATCGTGCAGTAATTTGTTGCGACAACGGTGGCATTCCTTGGTGCCGGATGGGTGCCGTCGGCTGCAACTAAGGCAGATCCGACGGTTGGTGAGGTATGCTTCGTTCCGAGTCTCCAGGGGGCCCTCTAGTGACCGGATGCGATGGAAAACGCGAACAAATAGATCGTTGATGTGGACAAAGAGCCCATCTAGAATTTGATTGTGTCAGCAGTATTTACTTGGCATTTGTTGACTTCCCTTGAATTCCTACGGTGCGGGAAAATGTGAAAGAGATGGGAGGAACCAGGGGAAACCGAGCCCAGCAGACTCTTACCGAGAGATTTGCACTCATGTAATGTCACGAGGGGTAGGTTCTCGCCCCAGATATCTCGGAACATAAGGGGAAGGTTGTGAACAGCAAATTGCTTCAGCTTAACGAGTTCGTCTTTGGCTTCAAAGTTGTCTGCTGACTTCAATAACATTCCGAGGTCCACTGTGGTTGGCTGTTCGCTGTCGATGATGGTCTGGAGGACTTTGCGACACCAAGTACCGATCCAAGGTACAAGCGCCTTGTTGCACTTCAAAGAGAGATTGGTTTGCGAGACTCGTAGAAGGTCTTCGACTGGGAGTTCTTCGTACTGATCAATGTTGGTGTAGTGCAAGACTGAAAGTATGCATCGAAGGGCTTTTCTATCGATCCGCGAGGACCCAGGGGAGAGACGGATGAAGATGACCTTGCAATCATCTTGTATGCTGAACTCTGCATCGATTTGTTTCGCAAAGGCCGTCGAGGCGACCCGACAGATCTGAGAGGATACCCGGAAGCCGGCGAGCATCGAGTTCTGAGAGTTCAGAAGAATGACGTACAAGTCTCCATCAGGGAGGATGGCTTCGGACAGCTCAGTGTACTGCTGCAGGCGCCCATGAGTCTGCTTCTGCGGGGATTGCTGGGCGTCGAGGATCTGAATAGTGCCCCCAAAAGGCTGCGTCTCGTGGAGCTGTTGCTGCTCAGCATCTTTCCGGACTTCGGTCCCGTCTGCTTGCATTTCGTCCACAATCTTCTCGGATGGTTGAACGTCGCCGTCCATAACGGTTCTTAAGAGGAAGAATGGGGCAGAGGTGGTCGTGGTATAGGGAAAGAGCGAAAAGTCAGATGAAGATGAAGAAAAATATGATATTTGTCGTCTTCAAATATCCAAGAATAGGAGGGCCTTCTGTTCTCGCACTTTCCCTTTGAGATGTCCGTCCCGATAGTAACTACCAGCACCAAAGCGTACGCGTGGGTGAGACCTGCCTAGCATGTTTGGCCGGTGCAAAAAAAGCAGACCAGATATCCACCTTCTATGTACAAAAAAGTAATACCATGGACTACGTCGGCTTACAAGGCTTCCTATAAGACTCAAATATCGAAGTAAATTTCCAGAACATCACAGCATATTTGTTTCTCTTGATTGCTTGCCTTTTTTTGCCAGACAAACAGGCTTCTCGAAAGATGCAACATGCACTCTAAACAACGTGAAAGGTCAGGAGGGTCGCACCCAAACTCTGGTTTGAATTTCTTGGGGTGAATTCGATCAATGACTGCTCCTAAACCAGAATGCTATTGTTGCTGAAATACGGCTATGTTGCAAAAACCAAAATCCCTAATCAAACAAACCCACTTGATGCTTGAAATTTGCCAAGCAATCCGTCCAACCTACCGGCCTTCGCAATCTACCTCCTTGATGGCCTCGTTCTCGCCATTAGCATTGGCGGTAGCTTCATCTGTCGCAATAGGCTTCAGCTTCCAGCCCCGAATACTATCAATCACTCCAACCACCGCGTCGTCCAGCTCGCTCAGTCGCTTCTTCAAGGGACAGTTTTGATCGAGGTCACACCGATGGGTGCTCGTCTCTCTGACCATGTTGAACCGGCGGGCGATTTCGGCGATTGTGCCGTTACGCCATACCTTCTCGTTAGGGTATAGCTGATACTTGGTGAACATGAGTGTGCACTCAGCCACGCGTGTTTCTGAAGAACAGAAGACTGGAAAGTCACATCCTCCAGGCACTTCGCCGTTGAGAGGCTCGCAGTTTGGACAATAGGTGTTCCGGTCCCTCTTATATACGCGTAGACACTTGCTGCAGCGGGAACTGTCCATTCGGCCAATCTCGGATTGGTTCCGCCCAAGGTCGATGATGATTTCCTGTAGGAGAGAGTAAAGACGTCGCTGAACCCCCCTCATCTTCCGCGTTATGCTGCCTTGAAAAACATTAGCCGAAATGTCCACCTTTGCATGGCAACGAGTTACTCACGAACGACACCGTCAGGTAGGGCAGATAAGACCTCATCTGTGGACCAAGCCTCGAAGTCAAAGTCCAATGGGAGCTGTAAAACAGCAGCTTTGGACATCTTTTGGAAATTAGCCCCCTCGCCGAGAGTGGCAGTTGCTACCAAGAGGTAACCAATGTCCCCACACTCCATCTGTCCAAAGTTGGCGAGCCACTGGTTCACCCACGGTGTAAGAGACGTGGCACAAAAGAACTTTTCGCAATGCATGGCGACGACTGCAAACATCTTGGCACTCAGAGTGTACCAACCGTCTTGGTACTTATAGTGTAGAATGGAGAGAATGATCTCCATGGCTTCGAGGTTGGCGTCAGGCAGAGTGATGTCGGGCTTCAGTCCTGTCTGAATCTTGGTCCCTTCCTCAAATTGGGACGCGAATAGAGCGTTGAAGTACTTGGAAGTGACTCTCAGAACGGGAGAGGAAACGAGGAATTTCTTCCGGGTGTTGTTGTGAGCGACTATGAGAGCAGCATCCCAGGAGGGGTGTAGCTCGATCGTCAACTCATCTGTCGTCTGAATGTAGGCCATATTGGTTGAGTTTGGTTGAAAAAGCGTGTTGCTAAGGGATATGTGTCATATGAGCTCAACTTGGACGAGAGTTGAGGGAGCTATGTGAGAATGCCCACGATTGCTTGTCTTGTCTGGATTCAAGATGCGACGTCGAAGAGTGAGTGGATTTGCGAAAGCACAGATGCAAAATATAATATCCTGTTCGCAACGAGCTGGCTGGAAAGATAAAGAAAGAGTCAAATTCTTGGGAAGGTAGAATCTGTGCTTTCAGAAGATATCGGCTGAAGCAAGTCGAAAGTGAGTGTTATTGCTCAAGTCTAAGGGACGAAGGTTTGCCTCATCTAGGTCGGTCGAAGTTGGAGATACTGTTCGGAAGAGCTGCAAGAGATTGAAAGAAGGTAAAAGGCCCTAATTTATTGTGCGAGGAGGTGAAATAAGAAATTGCAGTCGAGGAGGAGCTGAACGGCAGAAGATTGATGTTGAAGGCAGGTATGATGGGAGGTGAGAGAAGGAGAGTGGGGAGATTTAAAAGTCTTCATGTAACGAAATGAAATCGAATTTTACTGTTACTATCAGAGTATTCAGAAAAGCCTGCCGACTTCATACGCCATCGTTAACTGCTATTTGAAGTGGTGCAGAGGTTTGCAAGCCCAAATACTTTCTTTGGCTTGGTAAGAGCCCCAAGGGAAGCAGGAATCAAGCCTTAGTCAGTGGGCCAATCTCGTACTAAGAATTCCCAACTTTTTGCACTGGAAGTATGTCTCAAAACGATTGAATGGGAAGGAAGATTCTTGAGTAGTTACAATGGCATCACAGGCAGTCGACAATTTGAGTTGAGTCAGCATTTATTGCAATTTCATGGGGCTTTCAAGCTCGTCCTCAATTTACATTTACTGGTCAGCAAAACATCGCCTCCTGTACTTGATGAATAATGAGGTTGAGGTCCAGCAAGTGCTAGGTAAATTCCTCGGTAGCTCTCGTTAGAGACTGATCTCCCCTATCATTCTTAGAGAGAGGTAGTCAGACAATATCAAAGCACGCCAGGTGCGTCGAGAGCTTCGAGTGTATTTCCAAGTCTGGACGTTGATTATGCACGGACCACACACAGACCTGCAGGGGTGTCTTGTGTAAAGGGTGGTGGCGCGACACGCCGGGCCCGTACTTTGGTGGACGCGCCGCCCCTCTATCTGCGGCTGTTGCCCTCGATCTGAGCTTGGTGAAGCATGCGCCGAGTACCACAGTAGTCACAATTTGACTTCGTTTTATTCATCAATGACCCATCTCCCGTAAGGTACTCGAATCGTTTTGTTGGTACATTTGCTCTTGCGAAATCATCATAGTCCGCGACCATGACCAGTGAGTTCAGTTGCAGAACCCCACCACCAAGAGCTACTGACGGCCGATAGCCCGAGGGGAGCGCATGCAACAGCGCATGCGAGGAGCTGGGTACGTGTTCCCGGCCTTTCCACGCAGTCTGTCTAACCGTTATATGAAGACATGGACAGATTGAGGATGTCTCATTCCAATTGGACTTTGGCGACGACCTCACAACCGAGATCGAGCCTCAGAACAGCCCCGAGAGGCCACGCCCCCGACCGACACCAACCCCGAACACGTCTGCAAAGCGGCGTAGGTTGGACAGCGAGATAGTGCGATCTGCTGCTACTGCGGTAAATAGTGCGAGCCAGGCACAGAAATTTCCAGAGAAGCCCGATATCTACGAAGTCGAAGAAGGGTCTTCCACAGAATCCGCCCAAGCCACACTCGCGCAACACGCAGCGAGCCCCGATGCCGTTGCAGAGGCCGCCGGCCCAGACTCGGTCGAGTCCCTGCCGCCGCCACGGCCCGCCGCACCAGCGTCGTTTGTATCACCAGTATCGAGGAGGGTGGCAGCAGACAACACCGAGGTGGAGGAGAGCCCTGCAGATGCGCCGGGTAGTGGGCGACGGCGGACAATCACGACTAGTAGCGCTGTCGCGTCGAGCGCGAGATTACAACAAGCACTTTCCCCGGGCGAAAACGAAACCGAGACGGTTCCAATATCTTCTCCTTTGGAGCGCAAAGTACGGCGGAACACGACCAGCACTCGCAGGTCAACACTCAGTTCTCGTGGGAGTCGGAATTCTGCGGCATCTGCCAACGAGGACCTGGATGAGCTCTCTCCGGAAAGGACAGCAAACTCCGTCGACAGGACGAGGTCCCCCGAGCTTTCTTATCGTCGTGAAACGGAACCAGAGGCATCGGAAGCAACTAAAGCGGCACCAGAGCGAGAAACAGCTCTTCGGCCAGACGCTGAATCGATACTGGGGCCAGAGCTAGATGCAATCGTGGACGAAGTCCTGCGCCAGGGACAGGATCACGATGAGAGCCTGGCAGGGGAAGTAGATGCGCATGAAGCAGCTCTACAGCTGGGTCGAAAACGACCGCGTACGAGTCCTCGAAGATCATCTCCTGAACCGGATTCTACGATAGCTGAAGAGAAACAAGAAGAGCCCGCGCCGAAGAGGCGAAGGAAACAAGCACCAAGGAGCCCAGCGAAGCAGAGGCAGGGCGGGCCCAAAGCAGCCTCCAAGGGCAAAGCAGCCTCCAAGGGCAAAGCAGCCTCCAAAGGCAAAGCGGCCTCTCAAGCCAAGGACACCTCGCCAAAAGGTTTACTGAAGCGCAGGAAGAAGCGAGGATCAGATGGAGCCGAGGAGACTGTGAGCATTCCTGTGCAGCGCTTCACGAAACGGGTGCAAATTGCCGAAGGCGGCGAAGACGAAGCCGATGTACTCGCTATGGATATCCCGTTCGCTGGACGTGGTGGTGTGAACACGGTCGACGTGTTGACCCAAATGTGCGATGAGATTATGGAAACTAGCATAGAGACCTTGAAGGAGGGAGTACGTAATGCCCAAGATGCATCCACTAAGAGGGAGTATCGTGTGCAGCAGCGGGCTCTGGAAGCGTACCAGGAGGAGTTGAGGACGCGGCTCCTCCAACATGTGGGTATCCCATCCGAGGCTGGGTTGCCACTTGCTGACTCAAATCCAGACCATTCTCCTCGATACGCTTCATAGCTTGCGCAAGCGAGTGCGCAGTGTGCAGAAAGAGAGGATCACTCTTCGGGACGAAATCATGCGCATCCGTGCCGAGCGAGATCAGGTGGCGCTCCGGAAAGATGCCGTCAGGATTAAGCACGAGAGGGTGACGGAGGAAGCACTGGTAATGTCACATCCTGAGGAGCAACACACACCTTAACTCAGCCTTACAGCTTCTAACCGCCGTTGTGTGCTTACAGAACCAATTGAGCCTTTCTTCACAGATGCATGACATCGACCTCGCCGTGGAGCGCGGTCGCGCGGCACCCGAGCTGGGCCCGGCCGAGAAGAAGCAGGCAGAGTTGGCGAACCTCGAGATTTTAATATCCAGAATTACAGACCAGGCTTGTACACAGAGCGACACAGGAGGCACGCTGAAACAGGTGAAAGATTTCAACGCGTTCCTCGAACGAGCCGCAGTAGCTCTGGAGGGTCGATAGACGAGAGAGGCACACAGAGAGAGACACACAGAGAGAGGCACACAGAGAGAGGCAACAAAAGTCCAAAGCGATGAGGATGCGATGTCTCGCCCACGTCATATCTGATTTTGACGACAGATTGGCGGCTTCATGTACACTACGGCACGATGCTTGGGGCTAACTTGGGGGAGGGAGGGGTTCGACGGGTAGCCTTTGCCGGGGACACCCAGGAAATTCGGCTTTCGGCCCCCCCCACAATAGATGACTTTGATATTTCAGGCCAGTAAGGAGTAAGCAGCTGCTTCACGGGTTCCAATGGCCGGCGTTGACTACTGCGCCGTTTTGGTGCAAACTTAATTCCCCAATAACAGAAACTTCGTGACGCCCCAAAGAGGGAAAAAGCTGTCTTACCCTAAGGTAGGGCGCCATGCTTCTTTTGAATTGAAAGACGAAACTCAGCGCCAAACCAAATCCAAAGCAAACGAAGAGAGTCTGGACCTCCCCCCCCCCCCCATGTTTTCCACATCGTCACGACGGAGAACTTTTTGAACCGACACTATTTTTGGTCATGTTGGCTCCATTCCCCATTTTGACGTCACTAGGCCTTATTCGAGTCGCTGCCATTCTCGTCCCAAACCATCAGACTTCTTTTGTGAGTTCCCTTGCAATGCAGAGGCAGCAAAACCCAGCCATCGTCCGTCATTCTACCGCATCTTGCCTATCTCTACTACTGTGACTGGTTGGGGGAGGGGGGGTTGATCCTTGAATCGGGGTGGCCGTGCATGCTTTTGAGTGCGTAGTATGTGTTGAGGCGTCCGTGTGTGTTCCCACTCTCCGCAATGTGGCGGTCGGCCAGTTGGTAACTTTCACCCTGCCACGCCTCTCCCCGTTTGAGGTAAGGACTGTGAGGTGGCTTGAGCTTCGAGTGCTGCCCAGTGTGCCCGTGTCATGACATCCCATCGCGGAAGTACGGCACTTTTTTTCACAGTCCCCAATTCGTTCCTGCAAAGTTCCTACAATCTAATTCCCGGCCTGCCCTACGCATTACACGCCCCCCCAACCCCTCTCCCCTTCTCCCACTCCCGAGTCCCCCCTTCTCTGTTACTCTGCGTGTCTGCCCCCCTTCCTCCCACCTCTCAAGCCCCTGGACCCTGACTGGCCCTGTGCTTCGCCCGACAACGAAGCAGTGCGAAGCCACAAGGAACCACAAGGGAAATAAAAATGGACTTCGGCCACCGTGTGTGGGCGAATGATTGGGTGTTTTGGTGTGCTCTCGATCATGGTTTGCCGCTTTTGTATGATGAGAGCAAGAGGGCTGCGCTTATTTGGGGGGGCAGTGGAGGGAGCGCGAAAACCGGGAAGGAGAGGGGGGTGTGTGTGTGGTGTGAAGTGAGTGAGTTGGTCTGGTTTGGATAGGATAGGTAGTCCCGACGAGGTTTAGGGATCCTCGGCCACCGACCGCTTCAGCTGGATTGACTGGGTCATTTGGAGAACAACGGGGGAGGGCGCCAGTTCTTGTTGCTGGGTGTGCTGCCGCGGTGGTGGTGGTGGGCGAGTACATAAGGTGGGAGGGGGAAGCTGTTCTAACCTTTCACCTAGCCGTTATCTCAATCTCAATCCACCCTCATCTCCCATACCACAAAGAAGCGTGCGTCTCCCTAGACCGTATATACTACCTTCAAATCACCACCTATCTTTCCACCCACTTTCAAAACACACAACCGTCAACATGCCCGCTCCCGAGGCTCCCCAGCAGCAGGCCCCCATGGAGGTCCCCATTGAGAACGGCATCGTCACCCAGCAGCCTGTAAGTTTACATCCTCCCATACTACAAGCACTCTTGAGTCCAATACTGATGACAAGTAGTCTGCCGAGCCCCAACCCGAGATGGGTCTCCGTGGAGGTGAGGAGGCTGGCTGCGAGATCTGCTGCGGTCTCTGCGGCTGCGATGAGTCTTGCTGCTAAGCGCTTCGTCCATGATTGATGTGGACTGAAGCGGCAAGATGACGGGGGAAACAAAGCTGTTTTGGAAAGAAGGGCGAAGTTCCACCGTTTCGGCGTTTGGGCGATTGTTACCATCACCTACCGATACATGGGCGAGGATTGGCTTGGATTTGAATTAACTACATATATCATCGACAATCAATCGAATATATTACAACTTCATTGAATAGGACTGAACACGTCTGTGAGATGCTGGAGCCAAGCATTGTCGTTCATTGCACAGAGGCTCAAAAAGTCTTGGGATGATGCAAGCGGCAGTCCCTGGGCTGCCAAGCTTCCAAGTGCGCGGGTAGATCTCTTGAAGTCTTGGCACACCTTAGCGAGGTGCTTGGAGGGCTGAGTTGAGAAAGGGGGTTGGGTATCCGTAGGCTACCTTAGTAAGGGAAGGGTGCTGCAGAAACTCGCCCTACCCGACCCATCATCCGCAAGCCGAGACATTTTTTCGCCAGCTTCTTCTTCCCTGGCCACTGCGCCCTGTTCCCAACTGCGCGCCCTGTTTTGATGATCACCGTAACAGAACCATCCGATGGGGACAATCACATTCACCTAGGGCCTCTCACGTCGTCATTCGTGGCAACGGCCGTGCGGTGAAGTACGGTCAACTTTCAAGTAGCCAGGAGAAATGACGATATATCCGTCTCCTTCCCGTCGCTTCCGCGGAGGCAGCCCTCCCCCCATGCAGTCAGTCACAATTGATCTCCGTGCACATCTCACCACCTTTGGCCTGTTCCCAAGCCCATTCCTGTCATTGTTTCAGGCTCTTCGCAAGTCGCGGAGAGTGGTTTCTCAAAACTCTGCGCCATTTGCCCAATCGACTATTCAGGCGAAACGCGAACTCTACCTTATTTGCTTGAATCCCCCCCGTTCCCTGCCTTACCCTACCAACTACCGTGGACCGCGGGACGGAAACTGGATCCCTGGTCTTTCCCTCTCTCAACACGAGATGGGATGAGGGTTTCATGGCCCATGTTCCGACGCTGCCCCTGTTGAGGGAATTATGGGGGCGGAAGAGGGGAGGCCTCGGTGAATTCTGAGGCAACCTATCGTCGTTGCTGCCGTATCATTCTCGCGTCGGTGTGAGGTTGATCAAGTCACGTCACAATCTGAATGCGCATCTTGCTGTCTCCCAATTGGACTATCCCGTAATCAACGTTGACATGGACCAATGATTCGGGATATGGCTCTGAAATAGGCTCAACTGAGCGGAAAATGTTGGAGAGAAAACTGAGCCAGTCTAAGGCTCTTTTCTTGCATTCCCGAATGCATACCTAGTAGTACAGGGTAATCTACAGTCACTTTTACATAGGGCATTGTCTTGATGTGTAACAGCGGTCTCCAACGCAACCGCAATATACCTTACACAATGATGCCCTGGTTTCCTTCAGCTGAGGGCTTCTGTCACAGTAAACCCGAGACAGCATCATCTCGACCGCATGTCTTACTTCCCACCGCCAAACGTCCCCGAGATGCGATCCACAATCGTAGCCTTACCCTCCGCCTTGCGCCTCTCCTTCTCCTTCTCCTGCTCGTCCCACAGCCTCTGCACGTTCTTGGCCACCTCCGCCTTGGCCTGCAGGTCCGCCCGCAGCGCCGCTTCCTCGAACGCCCTCTCCGACTCGGGCAGCTGCTCCAGCTGCTCCTTCCATGATTTCTCCAGGTCCGGTCTGGGCTGCACGACGGGGGCCTCGCCGGCGCCGGCTGCTGGTGCCGTGGTGGGTATCGCGAAGTCGAACTTTGGCACGGGGAGGCCTTCCTTCTTTGCGGCCTCGATGGCCTTTTCTTGCTCAATCATGCGCCCGTAGAGCTGGTCCGCGTGCATTTGAATGTCTTCTTCCACCTGAGCGGGTCGGTCGTTTACGGACTGGTAGCCCAGGGCCTTGAGGAATCTCTGATGGGAGAAGGTATTAGCATCGCCGCTCTCCCAGCTCGAGTTAAGATCGAAGGGTGAAGGGGGGGGGGGGATTCGCACCGTTTGCATGGTATAACACCTCTCAAACCTCTGAACCTGATGCCTGCACATCTGCATCCTGTCCTCCCAGTCGCCGCTCTTCATGCAGTTCACCCACTCCTCCTGCTGGATAGCGCAATTCTCAAGCGCCGCCTTGCCAATGTTGTGCTTCCTCTGCTTGAACCCTTCCAATACGTCCATGAGCTTCTCGTGGTCCGTCTTCGTCTCGGCCTCGACCTCGGCGTAGGGCCGGTACGTCTTCCACAGGTGCGCGTACCGCCCGTCCTGGAAGAGGCTCTCCTTTGGCACCTTTGGCCGTGTTGCGTCCGCCGCACCGGCAATCTCTTGTTGTTGCTGCTGTCCTTCTGACTGTGCGTTTGCGTGTGCGTGGGCTGCTGCTGTTTTTGCTGCTTGAGCGGCGACACGTACAGCCTTGTTTCCGGCTTCCTGGACCTGCTGCTGGATCTTGACCGGGGACTCGCGCTCGAGGAATTCGCGGAGCTTGGGGTCGAGGGACTTGAGAGGGTCGGCAGACGAGGGGCCGCTGGGGCCGAACCAGCCGTCGAACCACCCCATTGCGACTGAGAGAGCTCGAAGAGAGTTCGCAAAGGGACAGGAGGAGCCTTTGAGAGAACCCAGGGGTTTTGTCTTGGTGAATTCGGAAAGGAATAGGAAGTCCAGAGGGGGCCTTTCGGCTTGTCGCAAATTGGAAGCTCTGAGAGAATTTCGAGGTGGGTGGCCGTGACCCAATCAGATGCCTGGAAAGACAGGGATTGGCTACCTGTGCATCGAGAAATTACCGCACTGTACTTGACACTGTTACGTCAAGGGTCCTCCTGTTCTATCTCATGCCAATCATGCTGCTATTAACTATGTACGATGACCTGGGATTTTCTGTAGACAATTTCGTCTCCTTAGCTATCTCTCATTACTGTATTTATCCCATGTGCTGCACAAGGCTATACGTTGGCTTTGCCATGTCATTATCTATCGTTGAGAACCTGAACTTAGGCATCGCGTAGCTAGCTACAAGACTTTGCCTTAGAGGCCCGACTCTCTCTCACGTCGTAGCCCAAGGTAGACCTTGGCCGTCGCGCGGCAAGTCATGACCGGGTCGAGTTGGGCACAAAAACGGCATGTCACTGGTTCACCAAGAGTCTACAGTGGCATATTCAACCCATCCTAATCATTTTTTTCGTTCATTTGACCCGAGGCGTATCGCAGTTTTCCGTTCCCGCAAAAATCACAAGCCCATCGTGTGCCCAAGACAGCCAGAGAAGAATCTCTAGATCACAACCACGTGGCTTGGCTGATCGAATTCATTTTGGTCTCTGATTCTGCATCTATAACACAATCATGTGGATGCAGTTTCCCTGATGACCTCCCATCCTGGTGTAATGAAGAACCCACACCGCAGTCACGCCGTAAATGCCAATGAGCCGATTTAGAACTTGCTGAAGGACTTGACAGCCTTGCCAGTACGGGGAAGAACGCGGAGGACGTTGAAGCGGACCTGGAGCAGGAAGTGTTAGCAAATGATCCTTCTGACTATACAAACGAGCCCCGGGTTCGGGCGTCAATCTTGGATGTCTCGTCGCAAACGTACTGTCTTGCTGAGAGGTCTGCACTGGCCAACGGTGACCTGATCACCCTCCTCGACACGGAAAGCGGGGGAAACGTGGGCGGCGAGGTTCTTGTGGCGCTTCTCGTAACGGGCGTACTTGGGAATGTAGTGAAGGTATTCTCTGCGGATGATGAGGGTGCGGTGCATCTTGGTGGAAACGACGGTGCCGGTGAGGATACGACCGCGGATAGAGACCTGGCCGGTGAAGGGGCACTTCTTGTCTGTAGAGAGAGTCCGTCATTAGCATCTCATTCCCTATGCCTTTTGTATTGTTTCCAAGCGCGCATGGCAACAGTATTCTTTCGCGTGTCGTGGTTTTCCTCCTCTTCTCCTCCAAAATTCCAACACTCTTCTGCCTTCATTTGCAGTCCTTCAACCGAGTCGCAAAGTATCGTCGAAATAAAAAGTCGTGGCCGTCGCGCGCGCATGGGTTTCCAAACACTTCAATCGTTCTCGTTCGCAAACGTACCGATGTAGGAGCCCTCAATGGCAGTGGCGGGGGTACGGAAACCCAGGCCAACGTCCTTGTACCATCTGCGGCCGCTCTTGCCGGGGCGAGCAGACTTCGCCTTGGTCTTCTGGTTAAGGAAGATACCCTTCTGCTTCTGGAAAGCCCTCTCGGACTGGACGGTCAACTCGGTAGCCATCTTGACGTCGTGATGCGGTCGACTGGGCGGGGGTGGGTGCTGTTGAGGGTTAGGAAGTCGTTGATGCTGAGCCGCAACTTTTCACCAGAGTCTGCAAAATCGGGGGTGAGAGAACGTGAGGGTCGGGCCTGCCCTGAAATTGCCATTAGGGCTGTGGACATTGAAAAAATTAGCGAGGCGCCTGCCCCACCCAGGTTCAGCCACGTTCAGCAGATTAGCCACACGTGGAACTCACAGCCACGCTGTAGCACTTCCAGCCACAGCTGGCACAGAGTCTGCACCCTGGTCACAGAGGTGGCCCAAGCGTTGACAGCGGTCTTGGACGCTACCACAGCAACAATATCGCGTCTATTGACATCATTCTCTGCAGGCCAATCAGAACCCTGGCAATGAGTAAACAAGACCCATGACAGCCCACCAGGCTGCTTTAGAGGGAACATACCTGGGTCCTTTGGGTTCATTGACGCCACTACCGATTCCCGTCGCGTAGCTCTACCCAGGTTTAAGAGTTGACATGCGTACGCTTTTCTGTTCCATCTGAGGCCTCTTAGCAGCACATCGCCACCAGCAACATCGACTTTCATTATGGCTTCATTTGGCGATGCGGCACTTCCTTCCACGCGCCGGACACGCAAATCCATCGGAGCGACCACATCCTCGAGAAAGAATGGTGATAAGGAGAATGCAACAATTGACGTTGGCAGCACCCTTGCGGAGAGCAGGAAGAAGTCGCGAAGCAAGAGCATTGGCCCCGGGGGTCTGGACGCTCTGAAAAGTGCGAATGGGAACCGCAGAGCTGTGAGCATGCTTTTCCTGACCACCGTCGTCTCATGCGACTAACATGCGTATCTTAGTCCTTGGCTGTGCCTTCACGGCCTCCGCCGCGATCCATCTTGAAGCCCACAATGCCCTTGCTACCCGAGATCCCACCACACCGAAAGCGCGCTGCCGAACTCATCGACCTAGGCCCGCCGCGGTCAAGCACCCCAACTACTACGACGGACAGCACCGACTCTACAGGCTCAGGTTCCAGGATTGCGTTGCGCACTGAGGAGGAGCAGCAACAGGCAGCCAAGGAGCGCGAGCGCAGAGATGCCAGACGCAAATCCCTCGCAAATCGCAGGGTATCCTTCGCCGCGGAGGCAACTCTTCACACGTTCCATGAGATCGATTTTTTGCAGGATCCGACAGCATCGACAAACAAGTCGCGCCGCAGATCCTCCACCTCAGGCCCCTCAAACGAAGAGCCAACAGACCGGCCATCAACCCCGCCAGAGCAGGATGATAAGGTTGTACCCCAATCCCCCGACAACCAGAGAGAACTGCATCAAAAGAAACGTCGGAGGAGCTCGACCGCGCCACTCATGGAGTTTTCTGATGATGAGCAAGACACCATGGCAACCGGTTTCAGCTCCGACTCCGAGCCGGCAGATGCTGTTGAGGAGCTTGCAGATGAGGAGGAGGAAGAAGCCTCTGATTCGAACAGCGACTCCGACGATGATGACGGCACAATGATGACTGTCGATGATCACGAAGTCACCAGCGCCTCAGTCATGTCTAACCGGACGACAGTAACGGATGATGACAATGACAGCCTGGACGAAGCACTCCGAACAGCTGCTCGACAGGCTGGCACACAAAGGCTTGGTCTCGATGACAGTGACGACGAAGAAGTGATTCCCTCTTTTGGTTGGATCAAGAAGAGCAAGCCTCAAGATGAGGCATCGCAAGATCAAGGGAACACTGCTGCTTCCCCGCCAATCCAGAACAGTCCACCTCAGGATGGAGACGAGGATGACATGGACATGGACATGGACATGGATATGACTGCTGCTGTCGGTGGCATCCTCAATAAAACATCCGGAGATATCGAACCCGACGAAGACATGTCCATGGATGTTACCCGAGTACTCGGAGGAATTCTTTCACGAGATATCAAGACACCGACCGAAACCAACTCGGAGGATCAGACAATGGAGTTCACCATAGCCGTTGGTGCTATCCATAACTCCGACGCCGATGCCGATAGTTTTGATGTCAATGGTGTGGAAAATGAGGATATGTCGATGGAATTCACGAGTGCCATTGGTGGTCTGCTGCCCACGCATCCAAAGAACGAGAGCACCCAGAAGCGTCGGAGGACAACGGCATCCCGCGAAAACCCAGAAGAGGCAACAATGGACATGGATATGACCGTCAGCGTTGGTCGGATACTACCTGCGGCGGACGTGACTATCCATGAAGGGGATGCGACGATGGGCATGGATATGACCATGCCGGTTGGCCGAATCCTGTCTTCACACGACGACTCTACGGATGAGCTGACGACGCCAATGGACATGGCGCTTCCTGTTAGCCGTATCTTGCCGCCCTCTCAAGTATCCGATCAGGATGAAGCCACTATTGGCATGGAGATGACAATGGCGATCGGAGGCATCATTCAACCATCCCAACCTGTTGAGTCTCGCCTTGCTGCCAAGAGACTCATGGAAGCAGAAGTGGACAAGCCAGACACCCCATCAAAATCCATGTCCTCAAAACCTGCGTCGCCTGCAAAGAAGCTGGCTGCCTCGGCCAAAAGACATTCATTCGCAGGGTCGGATAATGCGAGCAGTCCTGGATTCAACCCTTTCCAAGGCAGGAGCATTCGTCAGAGTATGCCAGCTGCAGGCCCTATGCCAGAATCGCCAACTAGAACAAGAACGCCCAGCCCCCCAACGTCTGTCGCTCCGCCCCACGCTGTCGCTGGAACACCGCTCGACAGTTCTCCAGTCAAAACGCCTCAATCAGTGAAGAAGCATGGTCGCTCAAAGTCAAAATCTCCTACCAGGAAGCCTGCAACTCCTTCTCCCGAGAAGACTGCCACTCGCTTGAACATCTTCCAGCAAGATCCAGCCACTGGTGCGAGGACGCCAACTTTTGTTCTGACACCGCAAACCCGAAGGCACTCTGGCATTGGCGCAGACAAGCCTGGACTCGGGTCGCCTCGTGTTGCTGCGCTTCTAGACCGAAGAGGATCTCTCGGTGAGACGGTCCAGGAGTTCGTTCCCGGCAAGGTCCGTGGTGTAACTTTCGCTAAACCACAGGTTATTGAGGATGAGATTGACAGGGCCCGCCAAGAAGAGGAAGACAAGGAAAACGGCAGGAAAATCCTTGAGCGTGAGGCGGATGGTGGCGAAAACGACAAAGACGCGACTTTGAACCTGAGGGAGATGATTGAAAGCTTGAGCCCTCAGAAGAAGCGCTTGCAAAGTCGAAAGAGCCTCCATGTTGGGAGCGCACGAGGTCTCCTTGGCAAGCGTCCCGCCGAGCTCGATGATGAGGAGGATAGTGAGGATCGTGACGGCGTCAAGAGGCTCAAAGGCCATCAAGGCAGCCCAGTGAAGAATGTCAAGCTACAGCAGCCTCCCAGTAAGGCAGAGACCACAGGCCGTAGATTGACTCGGTCTGCTAGGAAGAGCATGGAGGAGAACGCTGCATGGAAAGCTACGCCCACCCATTCTGAATCGCCTCAGAAGCTCGCAAGCTCGGCGAAATCACCAAAGGGGCACGCTCGATTCAGGGATGTCGAGGAAGACACTGTTCCCCACCCAATGAACCTCGAAGGCTCACTTGTCCGAGACGAAGCCGAAATCATTAACGACGATCCGGAGGAGCGTATTCATTTACAAGACTTTCTCAACATGACCTCAATCCGCTTCATGGAGTTGACAACCACCAAGCGGCGTCATACACAAGCTCCAGACATGTTCAAGGACTTTGGTGGCAAGGAGGACATGTCACTGGAGAACTGCGTAGTCGCCGGGGCTTGCACAGTACCTATGCTTGAGCTCTACCAGCATTCGTGTCGCGAACTCAAGAAGTACATCTCCGAGGGACGTCGAATCGTTCGCGAGATCGAATCTGAGACCTTTGAAGAGAACCCGCCCTTATTCCGAGAGTATATGTCAGCATCACCTGATTTCAAGAACATCCTCGACAATCAATTCAAGAACAGCAAAACCCATGCTCGTCTCGAGAGCAAGGCAATGTGGTACGAGTGGCGCATGAAGCTCCAGGAGGGACTGAGGGAGGGTCTTGTCAGAATTGCCGAGGGCATGACCGTCGACGATAAGGTGCTTCAGCAGCAGCAAAAGTCGCTCTCCTCTGTCTTACCTACAATTGCATCGCGCTTTGATGCCCTTGAACAGGAGCACAAGAACCTGCGGGCTATTGCAGAAGAGCTTGCCGATTGCGACCCAGAAGAGCTCGAGGCCGCCAGATCCGACTTGGCTGCACTTGACATTGATGTTCAAGAGAAGACTCGGCGCGTTGAGGAGCTCCGACAGCAACTGGAAGAGGCGGAACAAGACGTGGAGCAACTAACGCAAGAGAAGCAGCAATGCCACGAGGACATCAAGGAGGCTGAGAAAATCCGTGAAGAATGCCGAGGCTGGTCGATTAGCGAGATCAGCGCGCTCAAGGGTAAGTTCTAGGCCCTGCCGCCGAAGACTGACCCCACCAAGACTAACATGCCTGCAGCCCGAGTGGATTCCCTTGAGAAGCAACATGGTTGGGCTGTGACTGGGGTTTCCGGAAGCACCGTCTCAATGACTTATCGCCGCGAGATTGAGCTGGTGTTCGACATGGCGTCCTTCCAGCGCGGCCAGAAGAACTCGCGCATTGACCTGTGGTACATTGCTGCAAATCGCGAGAACAACCCCCTGCCGTCGACGCCAGAAAAGGAATTTTTCCTGCAATGCATCCGGGACCACATCCGTGGCCTGCCGCAGAGCCGCACTAAAATTGCGGACCTCCTCCACATGGTTCGTGCTGCGTGGGACAAGTCTAATTCCACCGCCAACCAAATCCGTCGACTCAACGTCACTTTCCCCACGGCTGTTTTCAGGACTTCGGATTCGTCCATCGCCGTCAAGTCTTCGCTTCTTCTGCCGCCGATCGAGACGAAGGTGTTAGTTGCTCTGGAGATCCGCGCAGCGAGCATGGCGGACGGGATTGAGTTTACTCTGCATCCCGAGGCAAATGTTGTATACGGAGAGCACTTCAACACTGGGAAGATGGGCGAGTTTTTGACTACGCACATGGGTGAGAAGGCATTGTCTCAAGAGGAGGGCGTATCCTCGTGGATCGACGTAGTCGTTGACCTGCATGAGAGGCTCTTGGCGAGAGGAAAAAAGCAAGGTTAAGGAGATGTTATCTGTACCCTGTGATGACTGACGATGGTGGAGCAATTTTTTTTTCGGGAGGCAGTATTTCTGGCAGTATTTCTGGTGTCGTGGCGCGTATGGCGGATACCCAGATCGTGATGCAAAACACGGCTTTTGCTTCCGTACTTAGCTGCACGTTTAATCCGCAATTCATTTTTTCCAACTCGAATCTCTCGTTTCATGTGCTTCGATATCCTGCTTCTTGTTCTACCTGACTTCGTCTAATCGTCGTTGTCAGATACGGTTTCGACCGCAAGGTGAGATTCATCGCTCTTTCAGATGAAGCAAGACGTGCAAACTCGGGTTTTGAGCTTCAGAATCTGAGAAGTTGATGAGATGAGCATGAGGAAACACACTTATAGTGATAGTGGCGCAGATGAAGCAATCCCTGCGATATTTACTTAGAGGTTTGGAGATCAAGACTTGGTGAACGGCTTCTCATCGAGGGCATGATCAACACCACACCAACGCACGACCGCCTCCTACCATGCTCGAGGATCCCTTACTTACAAATGACACGTGCCCAATCTCACTGAAGGTATTCAGACCGGCCCCCGCTTCCCAACCATCCCCGGCCACTGCCATCCCGCCAGACCCAATACGCCACTGAATACTCCTTGAGGCCTATTCACCTCACGTTTTCACGAGCTTCAGCATAGCATAAAAGACCAAAGTGGATAATCTAAAGGCTCCGACTCACTTAGGGTCACGTGCCGAACGACCCAAACGACCCAACCGCCTAGCAACCGCCCACCCGTCGCCTATAGCTCTTTCCACCGCGACCGGTTTTCGAAAAAGAAACTTCTCCCTCTTCCTCTCTCCTCCTCGCATCGATACAAGAAAATCACCAACCACCACTTTAATCCCGGCTGCTGATGCTTGCACGCGCCGTGGACGACTGACTTTCTCTATCGATCATACCCATTTCTCCCCATCATCATCCCAGCATATCGACACAATGGATTCCGTGTGTATGAACGAGATCAAAGGCGTCTCCCTTTTCATCTTGAAATGGGTCTTCAGTCTCTTCATCGCTGGCTACGGCCAAATCCTTCATTTGATCTCCTGGGCTGCTTCCCTCCCTATCCCCACCAAAGTCCTTATTGTCATCATCCAACACGCCCTCTGCATCGCGCATATGGTACTCCAAGACTCGATTCGCGCGTGGAACCACGGCACCGAGAATTGTGTGCTTGTTCCGCAGACGCACACTGACAACCTCACGGATACCGACATTAGCGATCCAAAGCCCAGGATTCCTGGTACCTGGCCAGAGAAATCGTCTTCAGACTCGCCCAAGTAGTATTGGTCGATCTGTGACATTTCCTCTGTTATGTGAGCTATATTCCCTTCGTTGATCTTATTTCATGATATGCTGACAACAAAACAGACCCCCTTCGCCACCGGATCAGGCGGTGTGCGACCCTGAAATCCCCCCCGATGAGCAAGTCGCGCGTCTCAAGGCCGAGCACAAGGATGAGTTTGCCCTATGGAGAGCGATCTATGAACGACAGCTCAAGGCCAAGAACGACGAGATCAAGCGTCTCAAATCAATGACTATGAACCATCTTATCAACGGCAAACATCGCAATCGCCGGCTTGCTGTGAACAAGGATTTACTGCCCGAAGTGGTTCAGAAAAGACTTCACCCCTATGGTCGTTCTGTTCACACCGTCTCCGCAAGTCCCCGACAAGAGGAATTCAAGCCTCAAGATTTTATCCAATCCCGACGCGAATTGACTTCGAGCATCCAAGAGATCATCAACGCCTATCATGAATTCAAACTATTGAATTTCCTAACGAGCCTAGAGCTGGTAATGGAGTATCGCGAGAAGCATACCGTTCGGCCTGTTCCTGAGATCTTCAACATCAATACAGGTATAGCTCAGGCCAATGCATCGACTCAGACGTCCGACAATTCACCTCAGGTAGACGAATCCACCCAATCCTCGAGCAAGGCGGCTCAGGTTGATCAGTCAACGCAGACTTGTGGTAATGCGACCCAGTCTTTCTCACCTCTGGAAATCTCGCCGCTCACTCCTTCGCCGCTCACAACCCTTTCTTTCTCACCTCTGGAAATCTCGCCGCTCACGAACTCGTCGCTCACTACCTCGCCGCTCAAGACCCTTTCTTTCTCACCTCTGGAAATCTCGCCGATCACGACCTCGCCGCTAAAGATCTCACATGGAACCTCTGCCAAGGGAGCCACCTCAGCCAACATCTCTACGTCACGGACCCGACCCCAGGTTTTCCTCACAATGCCCACGCCCGTCCTGTCTACCATGAAGACAAATACATCCTCTGCGCCGATTACCGAAATGGTGTCTTCGCTGGTCACTTCACCTTTTTCGGCCCCTGTCACGTCTCCTCACCATGCATCCGTCAACTTGCCGGCTGAGATCAAACCAGAACCCAAGAGCGAGGACAATCAGAACATCTCGGCATATGCATCTGAGGTTGAAGATCTTACGGGTGGCCAACGCAAGAACAAAGACGTTGGCTCGATGGCTCCGAATGCTGCCCCGTTGAAAAAGTCTGTGCTTGCTGTCCCACGCATCAACATGGCATCTCTTATCAAGATGGCTCCCATTGGCGTACCTCTAATGCAAATGGCCACGGATTGCACGTTTCCGATCAATGAGGCTATAACTAGCCAAGCCCCGACTGCAGTCCCTACCAAGCGTACCAATCCGCTGATCGACAATGATTTGGTTCAGTCCGACGAGATGGACTGGAAGCCGGACGACAAGGCTGTTTCCAATAACCAACGTCTTCTTCCAACTATTCCAGCTGTTCCCGAACAAGCCAAGGCCTTTGTCGAAGACGAGGAAATGAAAATAGACGAATCGGAGGATGATGACACGGATACCGAGATGGAAGGATACATTTTCAAGCCTGTTCAGGGTATCTACTCTCCGCCTGGGACTCCCCCGCCTGCGTCTTCTGCAACTGTGTCTCATTCTTCAGATCATCAAATGATCGATGCACCGCAGATTCGCCCAAGTCGGGATGTTGAGATGAAAGACAACGATAACGACCCTCAGGAGGCTGTGAAGAATCAGACTGCGGGCACCGGGGATGAAAAAATGTCGGATGTCAAGCTCTCAACTCCTGAAGTATCTTGGAGTCCGCCTACTTGGGATCCTACTTCTTATGGAACACCTTCCCTCCCCCCAACAACCCCGACCCAACCCATCCCCTACTCACTGGATCCATCACCAGCGGAACCAGTCGACGATGATAGTTCGAAGGAACCTTGGTCGCCGATCGAGGAGTTACCTGAGGATGACTTCATAGAGAAAGCCTTGTCGCTGCCTTCTCCTCGGCTTGCGACGCCCTCGCCCTCGCCCGACCGGCAGGAGCAACCTGAGACTACAGACGAGGATCGATCTGCCGAGCTGCCTGATCCTCCTGTTCTACCTCCTTCGCAGGCTCCGATACAGCCTCCGGCGCAGTCTTCGGATCTTCCAGCTGCAGCAAAGCCGAAGATCAAGATAATCTGGAAGAAGAAGACTACGAGCCCAATGGTTACGCCCAAGCGACCCAAGCCAAAGGTAGAGCAGCCGTATTCTTCGCCAAGGCCACAACCTGGTAACTCGGGGGCGATCAAAGTTGAAGCACCAAGAAACTGGAAAACTTCTCTGATAACGCCTGGAGCCCAACTCATGGTACAGCCAATGAGTTCGCTGAAGCCTGTGATTCAACACAGGACCAATCTTCCGACAGACGCTCCCAGACCTCTTAGGGAAAGTCAGAAACCAACTGGAACTACTGACGCCGATTCAGCTGCCACTGCCCCAGCCTCAGATGCGCCCGGAAATTCTGCAGATCGGCCCCCCACGCCTTCACCTCGGCCTGATGAATCGCCAAAGGTAGCTCCACTAGCAACTGGCATCTTGGCCACGCCCTCTGTTATCCCCGGTCTATCATACCCAGCGCCGCCTCCACCAATGCCTCCGTCGTCGGCCGTTCGCTCAGAGCCACCAAAAACGCCTTTGTCGACTCAGCAGATCGAGATCGTCTTATCGTCCCCTCCGAAGTCACCTTCGCGCGCCCCACAGGAAATTGGACCAGATGACTTGGCGGTATTCGAGGGCATCGATGAATATCGACCACGCCCCATGGCAAAGCTTCGTCGGCGGCGATTGGGAGACGACCAAACGCGCCACGCACAAGCTGTTGAACATACTCGCAGAAAGCAACAGCTTCAAGAGGAGGAGAATAAGCTTCGGGCGCGAATTCTGGCTCGGCCGGTGGCTCCCTTGGTGGCAGCAGTCATACATACTCCGCCACCATCCATTCGGCTTGTGGCCGACCTCGGCATGAAAGTCGGGTCGCGGGAAATAGACCTCGAACTGGAGCGGAGGTTGAGCCCGTTGTGGAACTTGCTTGATGCTCGCCAGGTTGCACAATACGGAACGAAGAGCCTGACCCAGCTGGGTCTGAAGCGCTGGAACGAGTTGATCGTCGACCGGCGCTACAGCCAGCTGGGGAGCATCAGCCGAAAAGAGTACGAAGGTCTCGTGGACAAGTGGATGGACGCATTTGTCACCGAGACTTTGGTTGAACATCTCATCGTGCTCAACGACGCCGAGGCACAAGAGGAAATTATGAAACCGTGGTTTGCAATCGTAAGACAAGCCCGCGAACAAGCCGAATCCTCCTAGAGGGAGAAATCTATGGAGAGAAGAGAAAAGCAGGAGACATCGACATTGAAAAACAAAAAGCAAAAAAAATTCACAAAATCACACAATTCAAAAAAAAAAAAAAAACCCACCCAGCTGTCCCAATACATGTCACCGAAGAGACCAGGAAACGTTACGAGCGACCGACGCGATGTTTGATTACTGAAGTACGAGATGTTTGATATTTTGTTCGGTTTACCTGTTTTTCAATTTCGTCCAACCGTTTGTACCACCACCGATAGCCCGATTTGCTTGACCGTCGCCTTCATCGATAGCCCAAGCATCATCCTCAAGGACCTCCCACTCAGGGACGGCAACCTCACTAACAAGCTTCCTCTTGAGCTTATCAGCAAGCTTCAGGGGGCTGGGGAGCTTGAAACCGCGAATGAACTCGGATCCCTCCGCGCTGCCAAGGAAGGCATGGGCTGTGCCATGGGAGTAACGTCCCATCCATGAGGGAGCTTTGCCGAGCTCTTCCTGGTCGAGCGCGTCATGCTTCGCTGCGGGTGACGAAGTCGCAGGCGGATAGAGGCGACCAGTCTGGGTGCTGTGAAGCTGTTGACCAATGAGCAAGTTGTACAGGTTGCGACCCATATGACACACATCCTCGAACGAGTTACGATCTCCGACGAAGACACCCTGAGTGCTGCATGCCCACGCGATATCGTAGGCCAACAAGGTCACACCCTCCAGAAACAGGGAATGAGCAGCGGGATCTTCCTTGGCTAATACGGGTAGAGATTTGTCGACGAAAAGTGGCCGGGGACGAGGCATGTAGTGCGGCTGACTGTCACGCTCCTCTGCGGAGAAACTGGGAATGGTCGAAGTTCCAGGAAACGGTACCTCACCATGCTGATACGACGATGATAGATTGAAGATGGTGGGGCGAGGGTAATCTCGATGTGGCAGTGTTATCTCTGCTGGGAGCCTGACCGAGAGGTAATGAGATGTCAAAGCCAGGATATGGGCGATGTTGGCCAGGGAAGTGGACAAGACTTCAGGCGATATAGCTGTCAAGGTCAGTCTGAGTGTCACTCGGTAATTTCGGAGCGTGGAACTAACCATTCATAGACGAAAGGTCAACAATGTCTACACCTCCGATCTTGTACTCATACCGAGCGGATGATCCCTTCTTATTGCGACGAAGCCCATACAGTTTGGCAGCTTCCATACAAAGGAAAGATCGAGTCGAAGACATCTGATCCGCACTCCGGGTCCACTTGTACTTGGCAACTGAGATGGAGCGTTCGGTCTCCTCAAGCTGTCTGGTTCTCCGAGCAGCTATTCCACTCGAAGCAGATACAAGATCGGACTTGCGGCGAGAGATGGCAGCCTTGCGGTCAGCAATTTCCTTCCTAGCGGCGGCGATTTCGTCCTTGAGTCTATCAGCCTGAGCGATGATCTGCTCAGTCCGATCTTCGGCCGTTCTCTGGGAGGCACCCAACGACCCGAGAACAACGTTTCGACTAGGCGGATCATCTGCCTTGTCCTGACTAAGAAGATCATTAATCTGCTTCTGAAGAGTCTCATTCTCCATCAGCGCCTGGAGATTCTTGAGGCGACCCTCATAGCAGTAGTTGCGAGCATCGACGGCACAGAGGAAGGGCAACCGTTGAGCACTATGAGGCCTGCAGCAGATGTCGCAATTCATTTTGGCGATATTATTGTCGAGTCCAGGCAGGCGGCGACTTGAGATGCGATGCGATGAGGCGCATGCACGAAGCGTTCCTCCGGAATGACGTTGGGTATTTGAGTTTCTGGTAAGTGGATCTTGGAGTGAGAGAAACCCCAGGCGTTGGAAGGAATCAACGACTTAATATGTCCGAATTCCTGGAAAGCAAGTGCGTCGATCGGAGTTTCTAGACGGCCTTTGAGTGCAGGTTGCTTGAGACGTCGGACGAGTCACGGGGACGAGGTCGGGTGAGAGACAACGAATGGACCCGAATGAGCATTGGCGCAAGCGGACTCCGGCAGGCAGCAGGGGCGGCCCCGTGGAACGCAACCAACAAGTCGGACCCTCTTCACTCTCTTTCCAATGTCACCTTCTGCGCCACACTTCTTTCCCTCGCTTTTCTTTCCTCCAGTCAGCAGCGCCACACTTTCAACCATTGGCATTCACTCGCTAACATCCCGTCCCTTTGCAGGCAGGAAACACCGCTAACGACATCGCTATTCACCTGTCTTCCCTCCCTGAAACGGCAGCAACACCCAGATTTCCTGACTCCCTAGGCACCCAACAGAAAATCAACAACGCTTTCAAGGCGAATGTAAAAAAAAAAAAAAAAAAGGTCCAAAACCCCCCAGTCACAATCAGAAAAACAACAACCATCAGCATCCAAATTCTCAGCCGGCCTTCTCTTGATCATCCTAACTGCGTAACTCTCCAGTCTCATCAGCAATCATGGTCGACGCGGGGAACAGCCAGACGCAGAGATCAAAGTCTCTCCAGACGACCAAGACACCTGAGCCACGATTAGACCAGCAACTCACCAGCGGCCAGGACAACGGCAGCAACACCCCCAGCACCCCGGGTGTCTTTCCTGCTTTCGACTGGGAAGATTTCGAAGCCCGATATGAGAAGGCTCTCGCCGATGCCGACGACAAAGAGCGTGAGCTTTTGCTTGAATTCGACAGTCTCGTGAAGGTAGGGTGTTCGCGCTCGTTTGCTTCAACTTACAGTCATGGTGACTCTCTTCAGTACTTCAACGTCTGGGCCTCCACTTCCAGTGCCCACGACAACGAGCGTGCAGTCAAGCGCCTTCACACGAGACAGAGATATGTCAACCTGGCGGAACAGAACATGGCTCACAAGCAGGAGCACAGTAAGTTCCTCTTCATGACTGCAACGCCACTAAGTGCATCCAACTCACTCATTTACAGTGACAGAGGTCCTCCGGGCATTCCAGAGTGCCCTCGCCCTCCTGAGCAGGTCTTAAGTGCCCCCGAGGCAGGGGACAAAACGATGGGCACATACAATGTTTGATTACCTGTGCAGAATAACACACTGCATAAAACACATGTTCGCATTTGCAGCAGCAGGAGTGCGTTTGTCCGCTTCCTCTTCTCCCACTCAGGTTTCCCTGAGTGATGGTGGTGAAGCGGGCCCCACACGTGATCCAAGCTTCCAGGCGCCCAGCGCGCTGAACCCTTGCTCCTCATTTCCTTCAACAATCACTGCACTCGAATCTCCTCTCAACCAACAGCCAGCGAACATCTCCATCAAGCCATCAAATCATCTCGAAGGGGCATCATACCAGTCAAACATCATGGTCACAGCAGGGCTGGGCAGCCTGGGCCTGATGATGCCACCGTTTGCTGCACCAAACGTCAACAATGTGAGTGATTCATCGTCGAAATCTTTCGATTTCCGTACTGACTCTCCTCGCAGAATGACTTGATGGCATTTTATGAGGCCCACTTCTCTGGCGCGGCGGTTCGCAATTTCAAAGCCGATTTCTTCAACCCAAATCATCAGCCGGACGCTGCAATTGCCAATGCCTCAATCGAGGAAAATGGCGATGTCTTTGAGGAAGAAGACGATCTCGGCTACTATCACGACGGCGTCAAACGCACGCTCACTGATGAACAAATCGCCATGTTTCGCCATTCTGAGCTCGAAACCCTCAAGAGAGACCAGGAACGACGTTCAACAGTGCCACCTACAAGTCTAGAGGCTGGTGAGAATGGCGAGGATAGGAGCCTCATGGCGGCTCAGTCATCTCGCCAGCCAGGCAAGACTGTCAAGAACAAGAAGAAGAAAAGGGGGAAGGGCAAAAACCAAGAGCCGAAGCCCGACCTCCGCAAACGCACTTGGGATGTCGTCGAGTCGGGTCTTGACACCCTCGACTATGACTGACATTCCACCGCCATCAATGCCCGAGCTGGCTGCCTCTGGTGGGGACCTCTATGCATTTTGTTTGTCCTTAGACCTTCCGGTGCGCCGGAAAGAACTCTGGGCCTGCACTCTGTATATGGGCACGCCATGCACGCGCAGCTTTTGCCACTACGCTGGGGATTTCTATGTTCCTACGCTCGCGCAACGTGTTGCTGTGTCTCTTGTGCACGCAACGCCGTTCTAACTGTCGAGCAAAAATTGGGGGCCGTCCACACGCCCCCATCTCTGCTTGACGACCTGGACGCCGATGTCGAGGCAAATGCTTCCATCGGTTCGTGGGGCTTGATGTGCGGGAACAACCTACAAACAACAACCAAAAAAGTTACGCGCACCTTTTCCCCCTCCCAAATATCCCGTTTGCTATGATGAAAACCTCGTATCGTCATCCTTAGTCGGATCCATTGCCAGAGATAGACTACTGCCGGCCAATTCCGGCGCTTGAGTCTCACTGAGCTTGGACATGTCGAGCAACAATCTTCTCTCTGAAAGCATTCACTCGCACTTCTTGATGTTCGCAATTACTCGAGGAAAGAGACATTTGCTAACATTCGCTTCAGATCAATTTGAAACAGGCATAAATTGCCAAGTGGTAACATGGAAGAGGCACAATATGCCACATTGTGGTGAAAGAAGAGGCTCAAAAAGCCATTTGGACATAGGGAGATGCGCTTGAAGGATAAATGGATGTCTGAAATAACACGACAAGGAACGTTTTGGTTTTGGGTGGAGGATTGAGCGATATGATACCCTTGTTTACTACTTTCGGTCTGGAAAGGTTTGATGTTTACATATGGTGATGGGAAAGAAGACATAGGATGCCTGGGATAGCCGATCATGTTTGTCTTACCAACATGGCTGATACCCCGACTTGGCTGGATCGATAATGAAATTTTCGAGTTCTGCTGGCAGCTATAGCTTGTTTTATGTTTTCTTAGTGACAAGCTTATAGTCCTTCCTTATTTCTCACTTACAACATGCTGCTGAGCACATATTGTCCCAAATGCAATGTTCTTTTACCAACTGCTTGCCGCCCCATTGAGCGCTTGACATATTAATGAAGCGCTGCGGCTATCGCACTAGAACGCTGGTTGAGTTTCGCGATTCGAGATCAAGATTGGACGGCAGGGACGTGCACGGATCACTTGGTCTTATCGGGCGGCCCGGACGATAAGCGGGAAGGCACCTTTTCGGTCGACGACCAATCATCTCTTCAGGCCGCTAAGCCTGATTTTAGACATCCCACCTTGATTTACTCCCTGCCCCATTCTCCTACTACCACCACCACCACCACCACTCGCTCCACGTCCAGCCAGGCTACCTCAGCCACGCCGAGACCCCTCCTCCTCGTCCTGCCTCTGCCGCAAAATCCAACCTCACGCAACATTACCACACGGTCCCTATTCAGTCCTGCGTACGATCGTAGGCAAAAAGTCGCCCAACATGGCGCGGGTTTACGCAGATGTCAACCAGAACATGCCCCGCAGCTACTGGGACTACGATTCCGTCAACATTAGTAGGTTTTCAATCTCGCGCTTCCGAACCTGCTTCATACGCCCCAACATCGACCAGGCGTATGCGACCTGCTTTCGCCGTCCTTCTACTCCACGCTGCCGACCCCTGCGGCATCACAGTGACTGACATATCATTCAATAGGCTGGGGCGTTCTCGAGAACTACGAGGTCGTTAGGAAAATTGGTACGTTTGGTGCTTCCGCCCAGTGTCCCCCCCGGGCCGCGCGCGCATGCGCCATAACGCCGCATACTTTGCGCGCCCGATTCGATTCAACGGGAGCATCTTTGGCTGATGCAGGCTTAAAAACAGGTCGCGGAAAATACTCTGAGGTCTTTGAGGGCATCAACGTCGTTAACTACCAGAAGTGCGTCATCAAGGTCCTGAAGCCTGTGAAGAAGAAGAAGATCAAGCGTGAGATCAAGATCCTGCAAAACCTGGCTGGAGGACCTAATGTCGTGGCCCTGCTGGACGTGGTCAGAGACTCGCAAGTGAGCGAAGACCTTCTACTGCAATATCAGTTACCAAGTCAGTGGGCTAACGATGCATTATTTCCGAATAGAGTAAGACGCCGTCTCTCATCTTCGAGCATGTCAACAACACCGATTTCCGAAGCCTCTACCCCAAGTTCAACGACCTCGATGTTCGCTACTACATCAACGAACTGCTGAAGGCTTTAGACTTCTGCCACAGCAAGGGCATCATGCACCGCGACGTCAAACCTCATAACGTTATGATTGATCATGAGAACAGAAAGGCATGTTTTTTTTCTCTCTCGGAGGATTCACTACACCCCTGAAACTAATACCGGTGCAGTTGCGGCTTATCGACTGGGGCTTGGCCGAGTTTTACCACCAGGGAACCGAGTACAACGTTCGCGTGGCTTCCAGATACTTCAAGGGTCCTGAACTGCTGGTCGACTTCCAGGAGTATGACTACAGCCTCGACATGTGGAGTCTGGGCGCTATGTTTGCCTCGATGATCTTCCGCAAGGAGCCGTTCTTCCATGGCAACTCTAACTCAGACCAACTTGTCAAGATTGCGAAGGTGCTCGGTACGGACGACCTCTTCGACTACCTCGACAAGTACGAGATTGAGCTCGATGCGCAGTACGACGACATCCTGGGCCGTTTCCAGAAGAAGCCCTGGCACTCTTTCGTTACCGCGGAGAACCAGCGCTTTGTGAGTAATGAGGCGATCGATTTCCTGGACAAGCTGCTTCGATATGACCATCAGGTACGTTGATGCGCAGGGCGAGGCGAGACGGCAATGGTATACTGACATGCAAGCAGGAACGTCTCACTGCCAAGGAGGCCCAGGCACACCCTTACTTCAACCCCGTTCGGGATCCCGAGGTCTTCAAGCAGCACTTGGCCAATCAGACCGCCTCGGGTGTGAGCAGCAACTGATTTCCAATCGTCGGCCAGCTTAGTTTTCGTAAACTACTCACACCCGCACGACGCGACAATTTGGATTTTCCCTCTCCGCACAGGCTGTACGCAAGAGGCATCACACTGCAAGCGGCGCAGGCGGTCACTCCGGGACTGAACCCTGCATCCGCAAGCCGGCCTGGGATCTAGACTAAAGCCCCTTCTTCCAAGTATGAGTATGGCTCGGATCAGCGGGACAAAGAAAGCATGAAGCGGACCTTCCACCCCTTTCAGTCTCAATACATGGAATGATTATTCGACATGACTTTTCAAGATGGGTACCTGTTCACGGGCGACGACACGAAAGGTGGTCTACACACATATTTTTGGCGTAAGAACGTTGATCAAGGCTGCGAGCGAGGATGAATGGAAATGTGGTGGACGACAGGAAATTTGGCTTGCGTAAGGATCTGGGTTTCACCACACTGGGGATAAGGCGTTTGCGAGGTCCATGCCCCTTCCGTTCCAACTGCCCCTCGGCATCCATGACTTTGCATAACGTGGTTTTTCATGGTTTTCTTTACAGAAGCTCTCTGGTATTCATCTGATGTAGCGACTAATGAGGAAGCAACTTTGCTTCCATGACCTGATTTCAAGGTCTTCTGTGCCCATACCTGCCGTGCCTGTCTCCGTGTGCAAGGTGGGTCTCACCCGTGCTCCTGGGGCAAGACCAAGCTCGACAATCAAGCTGTGATTCCTTGGGATCATAGGCATGTGAAGCAGAAATCTCTGTCGCACCGGAATCCATCCTCACCACACCGCCTCATATTCCCGCCGGGCGTTTGTACGAACGAGCCCGAGGGGCTGCCAAAGTGAACTCTGGTGGGCGTGGCGAACGCCCACGCCGCCTTGCGCTTCTTGCCCCTGGCAGTCCCTGTGCCTGCGACTGCGCCTGCGCTCCCGCTCCCGGAAGCAAGCAGGCTTTTCTGCTTCATGGGCGTCGTGATCTTGGTCTGCGGCCCGGCGAGTAGGAATGGGGTATATGACGTTCGCCTGCGCTCAGCCGATGAGCCGCCGCCCGAGGGTGTCGCCGCCATCCAGGTTTTGAAGAGATCTAGGGTGAGTTCATCTTCGTCGTCGGAGAGGAGGGAGATGAATGACTTTCTGGAGGTCGAGTCCTTTGTGATTCGGAGTTGGTGTCTCGATGACGATGGTGTACTGGGGGAGGTCTTTCGTCTTTGCTCGCGGTGTGGCGAAGGGTGAAGAGCGGCAGCGGATGTTGTCGTAGTGGAGGAATCCGAAATGTCAAGCGTGGAGGCGGTGGTCTGGCCTGCACGCTTGCGGCTTCTCGGTTCTGCTCTGCGGCGCTCTGGTCTGGCGGAGGCGCGGGGGTTGACGGCCTTCCTAGATTTGGCTGATGATTTGGTGACTGCGTACTTCTTAAGAGGGCTGCTGGATTGGAGATTCATGTGTTTGAAAGGTGATGTGGCCGTCTTGCCGACGACTTCTGAAGGTTCCGTTGACCCTGATGAATGCTTTCTTCGAAGAGGTGGCGCGAGGAGACTTCCTCTCGGTTGTGGTGGGAGGATGGGAAGCTCGATTTCCGTTGCTTCTGGGTCGGTCTCGGTTTCGTGTGCGCTTGTTTCGTCGGTCACATCGAGGCCAAGGGGTATGGTGAAGGGCTCGATGTCTTCATTCTCCTTCTCTTGCTGTGGTTCATCCATTTTCTGGTTCTCCTCAGTCTCACTTTGAGGACTTTTCTGAGTCTCCTCCTGAATACCGTCCCGAGTCCCTTCCTGAGTCCCTTCCTGAGGCTCTTTCTGGGTCTCTGCTTGGGTTGCATACGGTGGAGTATTCTGCTTTGCGTTATTGGGATTCTGTGGCTCCTGCACCGCCAATGCCGCAGAATGCGACGGGACCTCCACTTCCATCGCATTAGGTGCTTCGATGAGAAGCTGCTCCGTTGTGTGGCTTAATTCAGTGGAATTTTCTGCTGAAAAGATGGTGGTTGCATTGTTAATTCCAGCGGTGGCCTCACAAGTTTCTCCAAGCCGTCTGTCGCTCTGCTCATCGCGAGCCTCTGCCGGCGCATCGGCCGGCTGGTCAGAGGTTGCGATACCGATGCCGCTAGACTCCGGTGTAGCTGGCTCGCTTCTTAGAAGTGACCCATCATTAGGCTCTATACGAGATGACTGGTGGTCCTCCGACATGAATACCGTCTTTGAAATCTCGGGCCTTGCCTCTTCTATTGGGCTCGCCAACTCGACCGTAGCTGGAATAGCAACGGGCCTCCTCCCGACGCGAAGGTTTCTAATGCGAGTGGTGGGAATGCCTTCCTCGTCATCGGAGAAGTCGTAAGAGGGATCGATCTTATGCCTGACAATATTCTTCCCCGGTGATTCGACGTTTTTCTCAGCTGCTGATTCTACCAGGGTAGGTTTCTCAGTCACGCCGGCCTCATGACTTTGCTGCTGTACAAGACTTTTCGGAGTGGCCTCGGAGACAGTCAGATTAGCAAGCTGGGGTGTGAGTGCCTCGTGTTGCTGAACCGAATCAAAGGTGTCCATATCTTCGGGATCTTCGACCATTGTGATCTCCTCTGGGGAGGGCATTTTGGAAAACAGCTCGATGACGAATCGCTGCTTTGGCTTGTTCCGCAGGTCTCGATCTTTCACGAGACTCATCAGGCTCGGGTCAGCTTCGGCTTCAACTTCAGTTGGTACAATTGGCAGCTGTCTCTGGACTTGGGTCTCGGTTGATTGACTCAGTTTAGACATGTCCTTCGGTTTGGGAACGTCTATTGGCTTGATGACTTTGGTTGGAATGAGCTGTCTCCTCGGTCTCGAACCGTCGCTCACAGAAGTTTTGTTCTCAACGAGCCAGCCAATCTCTCTGGAGAGGGCTTTTGATCCGGCAGTTTTCGCATTTGATGGTTCATCTCTGGTAGATGGTTCAAGTCCTTGTCGGTTTTCTTCCACAGTGATGAGTACTGCCTCATCCGAGATAGGATCTGTGTTGTCCGAGCTTTTCTTCGCAATCCGAAGTTCTCGGTCTGCAGTAGCGACCCCAAGAATATCGTCCTCGTTGTCATCATCTTGGTCGGTGAATGCCTGCAGTAGCTTTTTGGACATTGGTCTGGCCATTCTCGGGATTTCATTTTTCACGCGGATGAGCTGCTTCATGTCGATCTGAGCAGGTTCAGGAAGTGCTTTCTCCAGATCGGTGTCCGGTCGTGAAGACCACACAGACTGGAAACCTCGACTGGCGGGGAAGCGGTATCTGGCACCGTAAAGTCTCGTCATCAAGTCGTCGCCAAGTTTGGGCTTGTCGATCTCGGGGACCCTCCAAGTCGGATCGACAGGATCTGGTTCACGTCCCCAAATGTTTGAGGAAGAATTCGAGGTGCTGCTTTCTGGCCGGCGCGGCTGAGCAAGACTGGACAGCCTATGGTCGGATCTTGGCCGTGATACCGTTGGAGGGGCGTTTGAAAGACTTGGATGCCGCTGTAGCTCGCCTTTCTGTATGTGTAAAACAGTTTTCGAATGAGATTCTTCATTCCTCCTGCCGTGTAAGATTAGTTCTTCGTCATCTTCGGTGTCTGACGCATCCGGGATCCCATCCTCATCCCCCACGTCCGAGCCTGAGCCGTCATCCTCCTCATCGTCGTCGGATGCAAATTCTTCCTCCAGGAGCACGCCCTCATCTTCTTCGTCATCACCGTCCAGAATTCCCGTGTCTCTCTCATTTCTCATGCCCTCCAAGTGGCCATTATTTGTGATAATCTTGCCGGTTCTGAGGTCGATTTCATCACCGATGCCTGTGAAGTCCTTGTCGTACTTTTGGAAAATGTGCTCAAATGTTGATTTCAGCTTGAAGGCGGCAAAAGCGCGGGACTGCTCAAAGCGAAAGCCAGGGTCCCGCATCCGAGACACCTCTTCGGGCTCGTAGTTGAGTTCATCATCTTCGTCTTCTTTTGACTGTTGATCGAGCGAAGATGGGCCTGTCTTTGGTCTCTTTGCGGGCGGCTCCATGTTGTTTGGGATGATGTTTTAGACCCCTAACAACATGTCGTTTTGAGAGGGCGGTGACAAGTGCACCAATGGTGTTGGATTTCGGAACGGTGATGATAAGATCTGGACGGGCGTTGTCAGGGGACTTGATGAACCCGAGATAGAAAGACGCGCTTCGACGCGGTGCACGGACGAGACGGTTTCTCGCGTAAAGTGGAGAGCACGGACCAAGTGGGGTGCTGTCGTTGCCAGAGGCACCCGACGACGAGGACCGCTGCGCTGATTGTTACGACCCCTGATCCGTAGTAGGTAGCACGCGGCAAGGTTCCAAGTGATATGACTGAAGCACTCCGTATCTGTGAATAATGTTGAAAATTCACACCCAGTAATACAATTAATGATCTTGTCTATAGTACAACAAGAGTCCCTGTTTCACTGCCATTTTCTCTCGATGAATTATGACACGGGCGCAAACAACCAAACCCGGAATTGAGGTTCGCTGGTATCCGTAGGTAGTCTATGTCACAACCTCAGTTGTCCGAGTAGCGTCCAGACTCTCGTCGACTCATCAAAAAACATGATTGAAACAAGCAAAAACACACAGAGGTTCTAGATGTAATCCGAATTGAGCAGAAACTGGAACGAATGTGTAGTCTCATCGGGTTGTCAGCGAAAGTAGTGACACCCGGGGGTGAACTTAGCGCTAGCAGGACGTCCGCAGGTACCTCCACTACCTTCCAGGTTACCTAAGGTAGCTTTAGGTGACATCACAAGATCTCCCTCTACCTCACGCCCTTCAACACCTCATTCAGGAGGTTGCAAGCATGCGCGACACAACAAAATGATTTGTCAAAAGTGCCGCACGCCGCTGAAACTGGACAGTTCCCTTGAGGATCTGAATCCTGCGGCGTACGATCTTCTCGTCGGTCAGCACAAGCTTTCCTCATCCGAAACGGTACGCACAAGGTAGCTAACCGAACCAGCCTCTTCCTCACAACAGTCACCCAAGAAGACGCCTTCGTCACGGCCATACCACCCGCAAGATGGCCAAAGAAAGGTGCTCTACGAAAAGGTCTCGCAAAACGCAGCTGCCGCGACCTTTAAGCGTCATGGCAGCGGGCCATCGAACTCCGCGCAACGAGATTCGACCATGTCCTTCATCTACCTCACCGAATCACAAGTCGCCCAACCGGTGCTCTCTCGACCCGAACCACTGCCAGCGAATACGAGATCAAATAGGGAATCGAAAGGCGGGCAGAAGATGCAGGAGGAGCAGCGTGGCGGTAGCAAGGCCCACGAAATGGAGCGCATCAACAAGCTGTTCGAGATTCTCTCCGCGCGATCCGATATCGACCATCCTATTTGCGTCGAGTGCACCGATATGCTCGTAGAAGGCCTTCAGAAAAAGTTGGATGCCGCGGCGAGGGAGCGCGATGCCTACGTCGGGTTTTTGAAACAAGTGCAGAGCGACCAGCCGAGCGAGGAGGACGTCAAAGCACAAGAAGAAGCCCTGAAGAAGGCAAAACAGGCGGAGACGGATGCCATGGCAGAGTTGCTACGCTTGGAGAAGGCCAAGGCATCAGTGGACGCGGAAATTATCGCCTTGGAGGAGGAAGCCCAGCAGCTTGACCAAGAAGAAGAGCAGTTCTGGCGCGAACGCAATGCCTTTGCCACCAAGCTTGCCGACTTCCAGAATGAGCGCGACAGCACGAATTCCAGGTTTGACAATGATGCCCAGTTACTGGAGAAGCTTCAACGCTCCAATGTGTATAACGACACGTTCTGCATCAGCCATGACGGCACGTTTGCTACCATCAATGGGTTACGGCTCGGCCGACTGTCGAACAAGCCGGTTGACTGGCCTGAGATCAACGCAGCATGGGGTCACGCGCTTCTTCTGCTAGTCACAGTTGCTGACAAGTTAGGCTACAAATTCGATGGGTTTGAGCCGCAGCCTATGGGAAGTACGTCAAAGATCATTCGATACGAACTACCATCGCCAACGGCTAGCCGCCTAGGTTCGCATCGGAACGCGCCACCGCCAGCTCCGAAGAAGCATGTCCTGGAACTATTCTCGAACGGAGATCTACCCCTAGGATTAACATTCATGCACCGCAAATTCGACAATGCAATGGTTGCATTTCTTGAATTGGTGCGGCAGCTTGGCGCTTTTGTGCATCGACAGACGGCAGCCGACGGCCACCCGCTCAGCCTTCCTTATAAAATTGAGGGTGACAAGATCATGGACGTGAGCATCAAGCTCGGTATTGCTCAAGATGATGGGTGGACGAAGGCGTGCAAGCTCACCCTTACGTGCTGCAAATTCCTGCTCGCGCATGCCAGTAACGTAAATACGAGCGCGAGGTCTGCCAATAATCATTGATTCACTTCACCAATCCAACGCATCCCGGGCAGTACTTGGGTCACGGAGTCGGGGGGGATTCTTTACGGGTATAGATCAAGCGTATGGTTTGGAGTTTTTGGTGTATTGCTAAGGATCATAAGTCACGAGAAGCAGCGCTTTCATTTTTTATTCCTTAGGCCCGGAGCATTGCTTGTCTCTCGGAAGCTTGGAGATGATGAGACCGTGCATTACTACGAGGGACTTGATTCACCCTCACTGATATCTCTAGAGTGTAGGCTCGAGTCTGATCTCGCAGTTAGTATGAGTACTCGCAGTCAACAACTAACAATGGTCTCGCGATGCGGCGTGTCAACTATTCATGCGTTTCTGGACAAGTCGAATTGAAGCACGTGACGAAATGGCGTACGTCTCAACGTCGCAATCTCACTGCATGCTGCTGGGCAAGTCAGCCTTGAGGCGACGCCTGCTGGCGGCAGTCCGCGGCCATTCAGGCAGCAAGGTGCCCTCGCGAAACATGAGCCGCCCGGCTGCCTCGTTGTCTGACATGAAAAGCTGCACCTATGCAAGCCTCATGCACTGGTCTTTTCGAGCCACCAATCAGCCATGTTGAGGCCATGCTACTCGCCTAGATGCGGGGTGAATGCTCGCCTTATCTGCTGCACCATGACCTGGCGGGAGAGCCTGGGTGCCAGTAGCTGCTCAGCCTGCCTGCTGCTGCCGCCCGCTGATAAATCCGAGAGCCGCAGCGGACCATGGGAGTTAAAATGAATTATTCCATCCACATCCAAGAACTTTACTTCCGTTCTGTCAGGCGTCATCTAGCTACTTTTTTCTTTCTCGCAGGTTGTTCGGTCCCGTGTAACATCAAGATCCCGCTTGACACGCGTCGCCTACAATGGGTGGCCAAGCTGATAATGTAAACTCGCTCATGGAATCTTGGTTTCCTGACTCTCTACGCAAAGGAACTGACACATTTCAGACCATTGACGATGACACCGGTTCCACTGTCAGTTTCGAGGAAGTTGACTACAGGCGCACTTCGAAACAAAGCCAGGCTCTCGTAACCAAGAGAAGCCTGGAGAAGGAGACACCGTCAGACATCCTGTATGTTCTGCAATACTTGGGTATTGGCGGTAAGGTCATCGACAGTAAGTTGACAACAACCACCACCGCTCGCTGCGCCTTGCTAATATGACCAGGCCGAGAGAGCAGCAATCCATTCAAAGAGATTCCCGACTACGGCAAGAAGGACGGTGAGATCACTCAGCGGACCGTCAAATCTGTGCTCGAAATCGTGACAAAGGTCAACACCGGCTCCAAGATCGGACGTGTGCGTCGTCGATCTCCACACATCACTTATCCCGACCATGATGACTATGACACAGTTTCGTCAGACAGCGAGAGCGAAGGGCGCACGAAGCCCATGAAGATTGAACGCACGCAGATGATCATACACTCGCCGCACCTCATCAACGCATTAAAGGCGGTCGTAGCTTACTATCCCAATGTCAATCTACTGGGAGACAGGGTGACCATCGATGCTCCTTATCGCGTTATCGTACATCATGTCGACGCCCTCAGACAGTACAGATTTCACCAACCTGCCGGCCACTCCACCGAGTACGCGCGTATCACGGCGAACCACGTGGATGTTCTTCTCAGCTTCATCGATCAGGCGGTTGGTGAATCTGTCCGCAGTGAACAAGAACGTCATCACCGCAACATCCCAGTTGCAACCTTTCAGAACTTCTGGATGGCGCTCAAGCCCGGCGAGGTCATCTATGTCAACCACGACGACCTCTGGGAGCCCTACGTCATCAGCAGCACTTTTCAGGATGTCAATTTGAGTGGGCGCAACCGTCACTTGCAGGTGGTTGGCTGGGTTCTCGAGATGGGCCACAATCGGATGAACCGAAAGATGTCCAAGTTCACCATCCCTTCGTGGACCGGCGAGCAAACCATATCTTCTCTGAAGGTCATACCAGCTCGCTTCTTCCAGGACGACCCAACGGCGATGCTCCAGAAGCAACTCAGGCTTGGAAAGCTGTACTGGGAGCTTCTTCAACGTCCAACTTATATGGAGTACGATGGCATGCTTGTGCAGGCCCAACCGGGATCTCACTCGGGTCCAATATTCTGTCGTGGCCCATCTGGATATGTAAGTCTCTTTGTCTGAACCTTCCTTGTAACTGAGTTACTGAACCTCTAGTAGATGACTGGTCGAGTTATTTGCGATGCCGAGGGTTTCGGTCGTTTCAACTTCCGCGCACCCGAAAACCGGAACGGCCCACCGGGCCCGCCACGTGGACCGGCACCACCCGGTATGATGCCGGTCCAGCATCATGGATCACCGCCTGCCGAAGACCATCTTCCGCATTTCCTTCCACGTTGCGGCTGCAAAGAATGTACCACTGAAACCGACCGCACCGACTTGTCACCCTTCGCGGGCTTCGACAACATCAACCCTCGGACGTCACCGGCCCCTACCTCCGAGATCTTCTACATTGCCTGCACTAACATCATTCCGGCCTTCCTTCTCGGCGACCGCCGTTGGGGCCACTTGAACGTCGATCACTTGAAGCCTGTCATCACGGACCGCGAAGCATTCAAGTACCTCGTCCTGGACGATGAGATCAAGATGACGGTCAAGGCTCTCATCGGCAAGTTTGCGGCAACCGAATCCGGCAAGGTCTCCCCGTGGGCCAACGACTTCATCAAGAACAAGGGCGAAGGCCGCATCTTCCTCCTTCACGGTGCTCCCGGTGTCGGCAAGACCTGCACCGCCGAGTGTGTCGCAGAACTAACCAACCGCCCCCTCATCTCCCTCACCTCGGGAGACCTCAGCGTCAACTCGCACAGCGTAGAGCACAACCTCTCCTACTTCCTCGAGCTCGGCCAACGCTTCGGCGCCCTCGTCCTGCTCGACGAGGCAGATGTTTATCTCGAGCGCCGCCGTGCCAAGGATATTGCCCGCAACGGTCTCGTCTCCGTCTTCCTCCGCGCGTTAGAGTACTACCGCGGCGTGCTCTTCTTAACCACCAACCGCGTCCAGGCCTTTGACGCGGCTTTTACATCGCGCATCCATGTCGCGTTGCACTACAAGAATCTGACGGACGATGATCGTGAGCGCATCTGGGCCAACAACTTTGAGCGCCTCGACAGGGACTCTAGCGGCCGCGTACGTGTCGCCGTCGCCACCCGCGAATATGTCTACGACTCACGCGACGTCCGCGCCTTGCGCTGGAACGGGCGCGAGATCCGCAACGCGCTGCAGACGGCGCTCGCGCTCGCCGAGAGCGATGCCGCGGAGGAGGGCACCGACCGCATCTGCGTCACGGATAAGCACCTGCGGGCCGTTGTCAAGATGAGCCGCGGGTTCAGGGACTACCTCCGCAGTGGTGACGTCTATGACGGGGAGAGCGAGGTCTGCGAGAGCGAGGGTGAAGATGGTGGCATTTATTCTGAATGAGCTTCTGTATCGGTAGCTCATGATGGAATAGACTGCTTTCTTGCTCGTGTTGGGTGGCTCTTTGGCTCGCAGGTTGATGATCAGATTGAAATGATGAACGTTGGATGTAAGGGAATTCCAGCAGTTCGACAAGTTCGACATTACAGAGAAATTGACAAAGTAAAGCTAAACTTTGATCTTGTATGGCTTCGTGCTATTGATGTGCCTTGTGTCTACTCGAGACGGTATCCAAACGGAAATATCTCACACAGATAGATTCCTGTGAGATTTCGATCCAGTGCTCAAAGTTCCTTCTTAACTAGCTGTTCTAAATCTGACTTGCACTCGCAACACTAGCCAATTCGAGACACGGTCTTTTGGGATTCCAAGATTCACAGGTTAACCATAAGAGTTTCGTTCGGGGGTCCCGGACTATTACCACTAGTACCGGAAGTGAAGAACGCTGGATCTGAATCCTGAATTACGAAGAATACTATTATATCAAGCGGCGTCACAGGGTTTTGTCTGGTGGGGCGACGGGAAGATACAAGTAAATATGGAATACTGCCTCGAGTTAAGCTTACTCCGGGAAGGGTACAGTGAAAACTTGCTTCTTCCACTGGGCAACGTCATCAGCCTCTGAAACATTTCGAGTATTGCCCAGAAACAGTCTTCATTCCCCGAGTTAATGCCAAAAATGCGTTCGTTTTTTTCCCTCCCTCCCTTATCTCAGGTTAACGTGAGTTGAATCACACAGCAATTGTGATATGAAGTCGGAAGAAAGTGGTCTCTATTAAACGAAAGTGAATGAGGAAAAAAATCAAGTCTATGGAATGGGTGAGAGTGATGATTTGTATTCGTGTAGTAATTGTAAGGTTGTCACGGGGGGGGAAGCGGAGGCGTAATCTGTAAAAGGACTCCAGTCGACTAGAGTCTCTGTAGGGTCATCGACTGCTATTCTGCCTCTGCCATTTGGTTGACGCGTAGTCCGATCTAGGCCAGAGATTCCCCTCGTCGTTGTTCCAATTGACTTGCACTCTTCAATGCCAGGCTTCACTTTCGACCCAAGGCACTAAGATTCTGGGTGCGATGGAGCCTAGCCAGCACAAGATGAAGAATCAGGTTGTTTTCTTTCCAAGACCTGATCATAAAGCAGCCAATAGGACCAAGAGATAGTACTCATATTCATACAAGTCACTCTGCAAAGGAGAGAGCTGAAATCCTCGTCCAAAAACCACTTGTAATATGCCGCTCCAACTTGATCACTTAGAATAAGGGCAAAACTATGAAACAGGCTGGCAATGCGCTGGCTCAAAGCGGACAAAGCACACCAGAGGCCGATTTAAGTCAGATTAAGCTTCATGGTCCCCCCCCGCAGCATACCAAACTAAACCCGCTTCATACTGTCTGTACGTACGAATATCCTCTGTACGGGCTGTGCTGAGGAACGGTGGAACCCGGGACCCAGAATACAAAAGTTTAAACGCCAAGACTGTTTATAGCAATGCGACCCAGCAATTTCTCTGTCTACATTGCCGTTCCTATCAAATGAACGCATCACCGCGGCCTCCAAGACGAAGCTGAGTGTAAAGACAAGTTCGTTTCTGGTTCAATTCTCAAAATCACAAAAGCTCGTTAGGTGGAATAAGAAGGGGATATCAAAAAGATCTCAAAGAGCCGCAATGGTCGTACGAACTAGTCTGTGAAACCATTTGGGGATGTTATCGCGCACTGATTTGAATCAGTGAGTATGAGAAGAAAAATCATCGCTGTATATTATGCCATATTTAATGGGAATAGACAGCCGGCAACGCAGAAGTAAATATTCGTTGGAATGATACCCTCCAGCTCCGAGCCTCCGACAACTTTGCCTAATTCTATTGCTACTCTTCCCTGGGATCTGGATGAATCGCTTGTCAGAAACAGGCGTTGCATTACCCCAGGTTAATAGTGATTTCTTCCAAGTTAAATAAAACTTTTCACATAGCGTTCAGGACTAAAAGGAATGTTCTCATCCGGTTATATTTCATCTGAAATAGGGACTTGTTTTTAGACAGTCCGGGCTTTTTATACCACCTTTTAATCATCCATCTTTCCTTTTCCTTCTTTTGCTTTCTTTCTCTCTTTCGATCATCGGACAAGTAGTATGAAACTGAGGGAAAACGCATCTCAAAACAGGGGACGCCAAAAAGTAGTACAGCGAATCCAAAAATCCAGCAGCAAGCTCAACGCACACACACGAGATTTTCCATCTCATCTCCCATATCCAAGCCTCTCTCCACCTCAGTCTCGAGTCTTTTTCAACCCTCCTCCACACGGACGCGATTTAGGAAAAGATGATATTCTTCAACTTCTCCTTCTCGCCGCTCTCCTCACACATACCCCTAAACACACCACCATCCTTGGCCCACAGCTCCTGCGGGCTGCCGTACTCGGCGACGGCGCCGTCGCTGAGGACGAGGATCCGGTCAAAGTCGGCAATCGTGCTCAGGCGGTGGGCAATGACAATCAGTGTCGAATCATTGAACTCCTCACGGATGGACCGCTGAATGAGCGCGTCGGTCGCCATGTCGACGGCCGAGGTGGCCTCGTCGAGGACCATGACTTTCGGGCGGGAGACAATGGCGCGCGCGAGGCAGAGGAGCTGGCGCTGGCCCTGCGAGAGGTTGCCGCCACCCTCGGAGATGGGGGAGTTGAGGTTGCGGAAGACGTTGACGTTCTTTTGCTGATCGATGGAGGGCGCCGCGCTGGATGATGGCTCGCTGGGCGTCGCGGGGTTCGAGTCGACGAGGTGCACGCGTTGGAGTGAGTCCTTGAGGTCGGCGTCGGCCTGGTTGTCAAAGGGGTCTAGGTTGGAGCGGATGGAGCCGGAGAAGAGGACGGGGTCCTGGGGGATGATGGCAAGTCGGGAGCGCAGCTCGTGGAGCTTGATCTTTGAGATATCGAGGCCGTCAACGAAGATGCTGCCCGAGCGGGCCTCGAGGAAGCGGAATAGCGCGAGGGTCAGGGACGACTTGCCGGCTCCCGTGCGGCCGACGACGCCGATGCGCTCATTCTTGTTGACACTGAAAGTGAGGCCCTTGAGAACGGGGGACAGGTCCTCGGCGTAGCTCACGACGAGGTTCTTGACCTCGAGCTTGCCCTCGGTGGGCCACGTCGCCGGAGGCTCGACGCCGCCTTGGTCCTCGGTCTTGAGGTCCGAGTACTCGACGACGCGCTCCGCGGCGTTCATGTCGAGCTCGATGTTGGCGTAGTGGCGGATGGACCAGACAATGGCCTGCGAGAACTCGAGCGCGAAGGAGAGGGTGAAACCGGCGAGAGCGGCGCCCATCGAGGGGCTGCCCAGGACGACGAAGCCGACGGCAGTTGAGAACATTGCGCCGATGAGCGACATGCGCCAGCCCATCCAGCGGTTGAAGAGCCACAGGTGCCATGATGCCATGCCGTAGTCGTCGAGGCGCGAATACATGGAATCAATGTACGTCTGGGCCTTGTCCGAGCCACGGATGGTCATCATGCCGACGAGCGTGGAGCCAAAGAGGTCGAAAATGGGGGACTTTGTCGTGCTCTCAAGTCTCTTGGCCGGCCTAGCGCCGGCGAGGTAGCGCATCGCGATCCAGACGGCAATGAGGAGCAGGATGAAGGCCAGGGGGATGATGAGCGGCGAGACGTAGAAGGCGGTGACGCAAATTCCGATCACGCTGAGGAAGGCGCCAAAGACGCCAGAGAGATCCATGCCGAGCCTGTTGTCGATGACGTTGAAGTCGGCAGTAAAGCGGTTCAGGACGCGGCCGGTAGGAACAGTGTCGAGCCATCGGAGCGGGGTGCGGAGCACGGTCCTGGTGATGCCCTCAAACATGCGGCGACTGGCCTTGTAGCTCATCACGAAGAAGTAGAAGAAGCGACCTGTGCCGAGGATGGCGGAGAACGCAGAGATACCAACGTAGACGCCCAGGTAGAACAAGGTATCCTTGTCCATGCTGATGCTGACATTTTGAGACGGAACGTGAAGTTCGCTGTGCTGGAGGGTAACGGCATAGGCGAATTGGTGTTGCGGTTGCTGGTTGAATGTCTTAATGGACTGCTCCGATGTGCCGGTCCAAATACGAAGCCACCATGATCTTCCTGTTCAGTTGTTAGCGCGATTCCTATCAAAGTCTGAAAGCAAAGGGGACTCACCAATGACGATGAACTGGTAGATGACAAAGAGAAGGAAACCGAAGCCCCACCAGGGTAAACCGCCACTCTGGCTCAGGTACGCAGCATAGACATGCTTCTTGATGGAGCCCTTCTCACGAGCCTCATCCTCGACAAACGCACGGGCAGCCTTGGAGGGAACCTTCTTCAGAACACCACCATCTCCGTTGAGCTCGGCGACCTCGGGAACATCGATATCAGAAGCCTGCTCCGAGTTGACGGCCGTGGCCTCCTCATCGGCGATCTCTTGGGATGACTGCTCGTGGCTCTTGATCATCTGCAGCGTTCCATCCTCGGTGAGCTCGGACAGGAAACCAGAGTGTTGGACAGTGCCGTCGCCCAGCTCAACGATAAACTTGGTCCTGGGCTCACAGAGAGCGACGTGGTGGGTGACGAGGATGCGAGTTCGACCCTGGCAGAGGTCGCCAGTAAGGCACTTTTCGTAGATGTGGCGGCCGACGTGGGCGTCAACGGCCGAGAAAATGTCGTCCAGGACAAGGATGCCGGCGCGAGAGTAGATGGCTCTGGCAAGAGTGAGACGCCACTTCTGACCGCCACTGAGGTTGATACCGTTGGCTCCTAACTCGGTCTTGTCACCGTCTGAAAGCATCTCCAAGTCCTTCTTCAATGCGCAGGCCTCGATGGTTTGGTTGTACCTCTCCTCGTCAAAGGGGAGTCCGAAGAGAATGTTGCTCCTGAGTGTGGCATTTTCGATCCATGGGATCTGGCCGACGAACGAAATGCTGCTCGGGATGATCCAGTTGCCACGGTTGGCCTTGTCGTCGTTTCTCTCGTTGATTGAGGGAGGCTTCGGCGCGTAGATGGTACCAGACAAGAGATCTGACTCGCCGAGAACGGCAGCCAGCATCAAACTCTTACCCGTACCAGTCTTACCAGAAATGACGGACAGCTCGCCAGCAGGGAAGGTGACGTCGATATTGCGCAAGATGAATCTGTCCTCGTCCTTGACCTCGTCGTCAACGGGCCAAGCAATAGTGGCGTTTTGGAAGGCCACATCGGATCCCTCAGTCACAGTCTTGGTCTTTTCGGGTCCGTTCAGATAGTCCTGCATTCTCTTGACAGAAATGTTTGCGTCGATGACGTCGGTAATGAGCTCGGGGAGGACGGCGAGGGTGACCTCGAGGTTCTTGAAGACACCGATACTGACGAAAGCAACAGATGGGATCAGGGTACCGTTGATCCATGCGTAAACAGCCAGGGAAACGGCGGCCAGAGCAATGGGGCTGGTAATCCACATGCCGAAGAGCACAGTATCACCCTTGAAAACCTGCCACAAGGCACCAAGTTCCTTCTCTCGCATGGCCAGGATGCGTTTCTCCCATTGAGGCTCGAGCGCGGAAAACTTGATCTGGCGCATGCCTACGAGGGCCTCGTTGACAACTGCCAACTTCTGGTCACGAATCTTCATGAGCTTATCCTGTGCCTTGGAGTACACCTTGGCATAGGAGAAGTTGATGGGAAGAAGAACAGCCCATGCGAGGAGTCCGGCACCGAGAGGACCCCAGCCAAGTAGGTAGACCAGGAACCAGATGGCGACAAGGAGCTTGGCAGCGCTGGATGGGAAGAGGAACTGGAAGGCGGCGAAATCGGAAATACGCTTGGCGTCGACACCAATCAGGTTGATTATGGCTTGCTTCGACTTGAGCACATTGTCGTCTTCGGCCTCTTCTTCATCGCTCTTCTTCTTCTTGTCATCCTTTGCGTCGGCCTCATCCTCCTTCTCGTCAGCTTCCTGCTTGGAAGCCGCCTTTACGTTCTTCCTTCGCATCGACTTCTCAAAGATGAGAGCAGAAAGGGCGCCCCTGAGGGGAATGCAGAGCTCGGCCCAAGACAGCCAGAACATGGTCGCCTCTACCCACGCGTCGGCGAGAATGACTAGACCGAGCCAGAAGACCAAAATCCAGATATCGGCTGGGAGATCTTCACCGGGCTTTCTACGTTGAAGAGTCTCAAGGATTTGAAGCGTGATCCATGAAGGGGCAAGATTCAAGAATGCCTTGGAAATAGCAATGGACCACTGGACGAACAAGGGTACTCGGTAGGCCCAGATGATGGACCACCATAGGTTGGAGTCTGGCTTGAAGTCGTACGACTTCCACGACGCGGCCGCATCTTCGGAGCGAGTCCAATGATCCGGCTTAGGCAGGTCAGATGCATCTAGATCCTTCTTCTTAGTGGCCATGTCGATAATTCCGCTGCACCAGCCCCAGGTGAAGCGGCTGTAGGCGGGAACTGTTCTGAGGCGGTCGACGACCTTGCCCTCGAAGTAGACGTCCGGTCTTCTGGGCAGAGTGACGCTCGTCACAATGAGGCCAACGGTCAGAGCTAGGCTCGCAATCTTGAGGCCGAAGGAAACAGGATTGGTGGACAGAAGCTGATCAAGCACCTTGGTATCCTGCAAGACCTGAACGGCGGCAAAGATCAAACCAGAAAGCCAAAGCCATAAGCCGAGGCTGTAGGCTTGAACAGAGTCATTTGACGCAGTGATGCTCACGGCTTGGAGGGCCAAAAGGATCTAGTTCATGTCAGCATTTAACCAAAAGAGGCGATATAGGGTGTGGATTTCGCGTACCGAGACGCCGGTTGAGAGCCATTCTGCAATGAATAAGCTATCATATTTACCGGTGTGAAGGGAGAGTGTTGCCAAGATGGAGTTTGCCAATGAAACGGCCAAACCCAAGAAAGCGAACAAGAAAATGAAGGTCTTGGGCCAGCGGTTGGAAAAGGCGGCAGATGACTCGGCCGTGGCTTTACCGTCCTTGTCCTCGTAGAAATGATCCTTGGGTTTGCGGGATTGAAGTTGTCTGACGAGTCCTGCAAGGGCCGGAACTGAAGTGAGAGCGATTACGCCCAAAGCAGCTCCGACCTCGATGAACAAGAGTGATTCATCTTGCATGATGACACCGAGGGTCAGGTGAGAGGCCTGAATGACTTTTCCAACAGGTCAAGCTCCAAGGCTGAAAATTGCTGACCTTTGGGAAATGTTTTGCAAGCCGCGATTTAGAATGCCCTCTGGTTGGCGTAGCGGCTTGTTAAAAAAACGGCGAAGAAGCGGTCGGGAAATCCACAACAACAAGGTTCAGGTTGGTTTGTAAGCTGCTTTATTCTGGAGACCAAATTCCGACTCGGTAAGGACTCTTGAGCTTCTTTGAAACTGAGATCGAGTACCTCGAGTAGGATACTCGACACCACTAAAAAGTGCTGACGTCGGATAATCTGCTTTCGGTTTCTCCAAATCGGGTGTCGGGTCCGGTTCGAGGAAACACGGATGGTTTGCGCTAGTCGCAGGTTTCACTTGTCTGATAGGGAAAAGAAGCCGGGGCACGGGGTGGGATGGCCTGTCTCTTCTCGTAGGAAATAATTGCGATTGCGAAGGACACTGAGGAAACAAAGATTGCGTGGTTCGGCTTAGTGGGCGCCGACACGGAGCCGGTTGGGGGGGTGTCGCGGTCTCAAAGCTTCGTTTCGCTGACGTCGCTGGTGGTCTTTTTCGCCTTTGCGCGCCTTTTCGACCACGCGCGGGTTTTCGGCGCAGTACGGCAGCGAGGAATTGGAGACACACGGGGACGGAGAGCGGCGGGGAAAGGGGTGGGGGCTAAAGGGAAGGGGAAGAACGGCGGAACGGGCGAGCCAAGAGTGACGGACGCCAGGAAAGCCTCAGGATTTAAGAAAAAAAATGAGGAAGGGGAAAAAGCTACTTCCAATAAGAAAAGAGAGAGAGAGAGAAAGAGAGAAATCTACTATGTACGATCCAAGGTACCTTAATAGGAACAAGGTTGAAGGAGAGGAAAGAGGAGCCACTTCTGCTCCCGCTTCTTGCTTACCCATCCAATTCACTAAATTTCTCATGAAGCTTACCCAGACACCCCCGATGCTGCCTGCCTGGTTGCAAGCGGCTGATGCCATTGGCTCATGGGCCCAGATGGCGTGCCGCATTTCGCATTTCGCAGTTCGCCTTTTCGATCTAGGAATCCGGAAGACTCCAGAGTCAGTTTGGGTGGACACCTCACCCCCCGGCCAGTTGGCGGCGGCGGCGCGCGCATTCCCATCCCCTGCGCTGCCGCCATTTTTTTTTTTGCTGACTGGGATCATTGATGCACGGAGCACCTTGCAGACCCCATCCCATCCCCATCCTTGACCCAGTGCCCCCCATCTTCATCCCAATCCACCACAGGCGCATGCTGCTACGGATACTGACACCCCAAGCACACTTTTCTTCCATCTTCTTGAACCCCCCACTTTGAGATGCACTCGGGAACCCAACTTTGAACTCGCCATCGTGATGCCCATGCTTGACCTGCCTCATCCTTACTGGGCAGCAGCTTGAGCTGCATCACTCTGCCGCGTCTTTGCCGATTTTCCTACATGCGCCGGGTGCCCGTCAGACGCGGGCGTGACGCTGTCGCCTAATGGCCCTAGGCAGCCAACGTCGACAATGACAAGGACGACAATGATGATGATGAAATACACCTCTAAGGGACAACGACGCCTAGATTGTTGCTCGCTGGCGACGGTAGATCGCTTGAGCTCCCCTCAATAGTCTCACACCCGCCATTGACGTATACCAAAATTGACACCTGTCAGACTGGCACCCGTTCGTCGTACTGTTTATCGCAGTGCTCTCTCGTCCATGAACCACATGAAGCCTCCCCTCATCATGTCGGCTCCTGACGCGGTGGTTGGCCGAAGATGCCGTTTCGCCGTTTGACTCACCGGCTGGAAGAGGGAAGCAGATGTGGCAGATCAGTCAATTGAAATTCAAGCGATGCCTGATGGAGGGTGGCGGGTGTGGGTTTCAACTTGGCAGAAGTTCCTTTCGTGGACCCTTCATGCTGATACGGCGGCCCGGGGTGGCCTAGCTAGCATACCTTACTTTGCCGTTATGGTGGCTGGAAGGCAGGAAGGCAGGCAGGCAAGATAACCACCTCACTTGCTCACGCACGCAAGCCGCAATAGCAATGGAAGCCCCCAAAAAAAAATAAAAAAATAAAGTGAAGACGGTACGGACACTTCGTAACAAATGGAAGGGGGTGAGCCTCGCGCTTGACGTCCCTGTTAGTACAGTAGCCTGAATGCAGTCATGCTGCACTAACATGGCCTGATGAGCATGCCCACAAAAGATTGCAGCTCTCCTTCTCGGCGCGCCTGGACGAACCCCCCATCCGCTTCCGCCTCGCTGGGTGCTATCCCAGTATGAACCCCGTATTCTGTCTTCAATCGAGGGGGCATTTTTTTTTTCTTCTCACTCTTCATCCTCTTTCAATTGCTTGGGCACATCGTACAGATCGCGTATGGCGTACGACGTGGTGATTGCCCTGCCCCAGCTGTCTGGATCGAGGCCAAACTTGGTACATTCGTCATGGCCTGGAATCTCCCCGCCTGCACCCCTTGCTTGCCGACCAGCCGGTTTCTCGTGGAAGCTGAATTCGAGACTTGGTATCTGTAATCTCAAAGGACGCAGAGGGAGGGAAGAGAAGTCCAGTCACAGTACTAGATTAGGAAGGAGAATTGGAGAGGGGCGGTGGTGGGAGGCTCTAATTTGCACAGGCGGGACTGCGCCGCAGCATATCATCCATGGATGGACGATGGGACTTGGGGAGAAGTTGGGAAGGGCGGTCAGACTAGTCCGTAAAGTGAGGAAGCAAACTATGAGGTGCGCTGTGGGTCCCTCGCCAGGCCCGGCCGGCCATGGGACCAAGGACCAAGGTCTGCCACTTGGTTCGAGTCGTGTCATGGGAACCGTTTTTCCCGCTTCCCGCTTCCTGCCGTTGCTAAATGCTGACTGCTCTCCTGTTTCTTCTTAGCGTGTTGCAACTCGAAGTTCAGAGACTTGTTGTCACATCGGACTCCTGGGAGACTGGTCTGGTCCTGATGCGTACAGGAGAGTTCATGTAGGAAGGTTTTCCGTGGCCCTTATGTTCATGTAGGGGACAAATATCTGACAATACCTATGTCTCCGTACAGAGGCAGAAACAATGACGCATAATCGGATAGCATGGGTTATCGTGGGTTTCGTTCTTTCTTGCTTGCTCCATACTCACCTAACCCTCGAACCTGCCTCAAAGGGGGTCTCCAAGTCTAGGCAGCCGCTGACACATCATCTCGCTTACAGCGCTCGGCTTCCCCAATACTGCCGCTAGCCTGCTACATCTTTATCATCTCCTTTTTCCTGGTCCTTGTTTTCCCGGTGAGTCTCCGTATCACGCTGCAAGGCGCTGCATGAAGGGTGCGGAAGAAAGGAAAAACAAAGTACTATGCAGCACAATGCGACCATCCCAATCTTGCTCTGATGGGCGTTCTCAATCCGTCGACCTGTTCGAGCTCGTTATCAGCAAGGGTCATGGTTGTTAACAGGCGTTTCCAACATGCTCCGCGTCCTGCTCGCGTCCTTCATCTGATCGAGTGTCGTTGGAAAAGACGCGGCGACTCGGGGACTTTGCTGCCTGCCAAGGCTGCCATCCCCGCAACGGGACTTTGCCTGGGTTGGATCTGGCAACGACGCGGCCTGATTTAATAGGAAGGTTCCCATGACGGGAGCTTATGAAACAACAAATCAGCCGCTTCCGAACTACTGGCTTGGTTGCATTCATTCATTCGTTCAATATCCTTTTCTCTCAATCGGCAGACTCGAATTGAGCGAGTGCGATTTGATTCATGATGTCGTCTGCGTCCCTCGGTATGTGGGCTGGAGCGGGGCGTGGGAGAGGCGCATCAAACACCGGCGGCCGACGTTTCGAAACGAACGTGTTCGGTGACATAATCAAGACGGGCCATTTTTTTTTTTGCGTTCGGGCGCCAACGGCCATGTGTAGCTTACGTTGTGTATCATGAATCGGCGGCGAGCGAGTCTTGTCGGTGAGGAAAGGTAGCCAAGTGCAGCCTTTCCTGCGCACGAAGACTGACTGAGGCGAAACCTCTCTCCCAAAAAAATGGTCATTTCATGTCTATGCAGGCGGGGCGAGTACCGGCGCAGTGTAACAGCCACGATTGAGGGCTCCTGTTAATACGTTTGTGTGATTGGACGAGCGAGTGACTGAAGTCTGCAGTGCTGCGTGACCTTGCTCATCGCCGACGTGTTGCAGGTTCTTGACGATGTCGGGACCGGTGATGATGCAAATTCGAGGTTCTTTCTACAAGTTAATGGAATTGTTCATTCGTGGTGAGAGCATCGCTGCGTGGTTGATGGTGGTGTAGTGTCACGAAAGTGAGGCAAAAGCGAATTGACCACGATTTGACTCAAAGGACGAACAATCCACCGACAATATGACTGTGCTGAGACATGCTTAGATGAAATGGTTCCTCATATGTGACGCCTCACGGTTGAGACCGATCGAAGTTGCAAGCCATTACTGATCCGCCAATATGCTTTACGCTACGACGCCGTGAACCTCCCCCCCCCCTCCCGGAGCTGGTGCAAATGATACAGGGCTGACCGCACGGGTAGGATAGCCTGTGGTGGACCGGGCCGTTTGGGCTGCAAACATTCTTTCCTTGGATCGGGTTTCAACAAAGAAATTCTCGATGACTCGATGAGTTGGGGAACATGACTCATTCCTGAAGATTAGAATTGAAAGGAAACTAGCGAGAATATGGTGCTAATGGCAAGTGACGATGATAAATCGCCTGTTTCTAGAGTAAAGCTCTCGGAATGCAAAGCAGTAGACAAGGGAACGGGGAGGGCCAAGTGATGGCTTGTGAGTCCGTGGGTCGGGGATGGAGACAAAGTGGAAATTCCAATGGCAATTTGCATTACCGATAGACGTACATTGATTGGCGGGGGCGCTTCAGCCCTGTATGTAGTAGAAATCTCACTCAGGCACAGGACACCAAGTTCGAGGCTCTGGTGGGGTTGCTAAAAACATAATAGTGTTGAAAGTGTACGGATATTGCTTCTTCAAATGCAGAGTCATGGGGGATTCGTCTCTTATTTAGATACGGGCAAGGCACGAGTATGAAAAGTTGCCTCAACTAAGAAGGGGTTGTTGACGAATAGAAGTTTGTATGTATTGAGACGAATGAACAATTATTTGGTAGGGTGGGAGTGGTGGCAGCAAAGTTGAAACCACAGAGACATTGTGTAAGAAACAGGGAAAAGTCTCTGAGAAGTAGAAACGTGTCAGTAAAAGCCCGAGAGACTTGAGTTAGAGAACCCTTTTTGGAATCTGGGCAAAAGTCCTTTCGTGTCGAGGTGTTGCGCCGATTGCTTCAAACCGCCCATGAGTGCGTCGATCCTGCCAGCACCTTGCAGCGCATGAGACTGTACCTAAGCCAATCACGGCCGGTCGGAATAATTACATTAAGCTGCGTCCTGGGTGACATTGGAAGTGTATTGACATAATACGGCTATTTCCCATCAACGAGACTGAAAGGCTTGCGACCACTTGCATTCAGCCCGATTTAGAACAAGTGTTTACGTGGTACAAACCCTTCGCCCTGACACACCAAAAGATGAGGAGAAAAAATCAAAGATTCACGCTCTTCTCAAAGTCCAAGGATCCCAGCAGTCCAAAGCATCTTGGGGAACAGCTACGACCAATCAAACGAGGCTTGATGAACCAAACAGTGGACTACTCCTCCTCTGACATTCTCTGACGGAGCTGTCTGATTGGCCACACTCGCCTCCCAGCGCCTCATGGCCAGCAGCTTCCCTGCCGTTTCCCTGCTCCCGGCTGCCCTCCCCGATTTTCTCAAGGTGCAAAGCCCAGCAGGTCATCTCTTCCAGGTAAGGTAAGCTAAGGTAGGTAAGATGATGCCGCAGCTGCGACAGACTATGCAGATCTGGTTGCTGTAGCGGCTGTCGAGCCTACCGCAACACTCAATGTACCGTCGTTAAACTTTAGGTAGGGTGGAAAACACCAGCCCGGTACAGGCGGCGGGTGCAACAGGAACAATGGGTGGGCGTCCTCAACTCCTTGCTGTCTTTGCAGCAGCGCGCGCGTTGGAGCCGTCTGAGCTCCTGCAAGCCGAACCAAACCACACCAAACTCCACCCTGGCCTGCTCGGGAACGACCTTTCATCCATTCTTGCGCCCTCGTGACAATCAATTCCCTGCCAAGTTTAATTGATTTCCCATTTTCACTTTTTTCTTTATCCTCTCTCTTGGTCCATACAATTCTAAAGCCTTGTGTGTCGTTCCACTCGGTACTAAACGTCCCACCAATCCAACCCAACATCTGCCATTGAGGTTCCCGCTCAGCAGCTGCGAATCGACACTGCTGCAAGAGCTGTTGCCATCGACCAATCTCCCGAGCTGCTGTTGCCGAGCTAAGCAGAAGCTCGACCTCCTCAGCCTGCCCACCCCTCATCCACCTCATCCCACCGCGAGCGCCGCACGAAGCTTCCCGACTCGAATCGACGATCGGATTTAACCCCCGATAAGCTCCTCGGCACGTCCAGCTCGGTCATATTTTATCCTACAAAGTCCCATCGTACGAGCCCATCATCACACATTTTCGACCGTCCACGATCCCGCACATGTCTCGAGACGGCCGTATACATACGCAGTCACGATGAAGAGCACGCCGCTTATCATCAATTGGCATGACCAGAATGCCCCAGTCTACTCGGCCCATTTCGAGCCCAACGGCAAGGGCCGACTAGCCACGGCTGGAGGAGACAATAACGTGAGGGTACGTCAAACGTCTAAACTGGCGAGCATGCCACCTGTCCCACCCGTGGCTTCGCAAGGCTGACACGGACACCAGCTATGGAAGGTAGACAGTGATGGAGAGGATCGAAAGGTGGACTACTTGTCAACCTTGAGCAAGCACACACAAGCAGTCAACGTCGTTCGATGGGCCCCCAAAGGTAAGAAACCAATTTCAGACGCCTCGTCTTCCCCTCGCTGACCTCCCCTTGTACAGGCGAGATCCTCGCTTCCGCCGGCGACGACGGCAATGTCATCATATGGATCATGTCCGAACACAGCGGCCCCGCCTTTGGCAACGAGGGCCTCGAGGATAAGGAGACTTGGAGAACCAAGCACATGTGTCGATCTAGCGGATCCGAAATTTACGACCTCGCCTGGTCTCCTGATAGCTCTTATTTCATCATTGGGAGCATGGACAACATTGCCCGAATCTACAATGCCAGCTCAGGTACGTTTCCTCACTGTTGACGGTCTTTTCTACACCCGTCTCTAACCAACACAGGTACTCTCGTGCGCCAGATTGCCGAGCATAGCCACTACGTCCAGGGAGTAGCGTGGGATCCTTTGAACGAATATATCGCAACCCAGTCCTCCGACCGATCAGTCCACATCTACTCGTTGAAGACCAAGGATGGCCAGCACACACTCAGCGGCAATCATGATGACAAACCTTCCAAAATCGCGAGTCACAACAAGAGTGACTTGCCGCCGCGCCGCATATCCTCCAGCAGCCCTGCGCCTCCTGACTTTGGCATGAGGACCCACCTTACTGTCGAACAAGCCATAGGATCTCCGGTGCCCTCCGCCCCCGGAACTCCCACGTCAATCGCGTTGCCGATGAACCCGCCTAGTGTGATAAGCCATAGCAGGAGGTCGTCGTTTTCGTCTAGACGCTCGCCGTCACCCGCTCCGTCTATGCCGCTGCCGGCTGTAATGCCCATGGAACCATCGCCGAAACCTCACCCCTCTGGTGGCCTCGGCATGAAGAATTCAACGCTCTACGCCAATGAGACACTTTCATCCTTTTTCCGACGCTTGACTTTCACCCCAGATGGCAGTCTTCTGCTTACTCCAGCTGGCCAATATCAAACTCAACACAGCTCAGAAGGAAATGCGAAGCCCACATTTGAGGTCACGAACACTGTCTACATTTACACCAGAGGTGGCATCAATAAGGCACCGATTGCGCACTTGCCTGGTCACAAGAAGCCTTCTGTCGTGGTGAAGTGCTCACCAATCTTTTACTCATTGCGGACATCACCCCCTGTAACCAAGCATATCACCATCGATACGTCGTCCTCCGAAGATCCCATCCCAGCATTGCCTGAACCAGTCTCGAAGCCGGTGACATCTGCTTCGGTCATGGACCCGCCTCCGCCGCCAACCTCAGTCCCCGAGTCTATCTCTACACCAAACAAGGCCGAATCTGGCGCATCTACCCCTGGCCCCAAGGCAGCTTTTGCTTTGCCATACAGGATGATCTACGCCGTTGCGACTCAAGACGCCGTCCTTCTCTACGATTCTCAGCAGCAGACGCCTATCTGCATAGTCAGCAATCTTCACTGCGCGACGTTCACGGATCTGGCTTGGTGAGCTTTCTTGTACTCTTTCAACTGAGGCGATGCTAACTCTACGCGCAGGTCAAGCGATGGACTCACTCTTCTGGTCTCATCCTCAGACGGATTCTGTTCGACCTTATCTTTCTCACCCGGTGAGCTGGGCCAGATCTATCAAGGAGATTTGCCCACTGCCAAGAACCCAACAGCTGGAAGCACAGGAGCGAGTACGTTGTCGAACCAAAACACTCCGGTTCCTGCTCCGAGCTCAACATTCGCCTCTGCATCTCCGTTTCCGAATGGCTCTGGTCATCATCACCGGAACTCGACAAGCTCTTTCACCGCTCCATCACCTCCACCTGCTGGATTCGTCAGCCAGCGGCCTCAGTCGCCTGCTCGATCAAACTCTACTTCGTCTGTGGCGACTCAGTCATCGAATGTGGTGACAAACCCCCCCTTGATTGTGGGCAGCGTACCTGGCATAGCCGTTTCCAACTCTACCAAGGTCACGGGCGTCCCCATCACAACGCCACCAGAGACGCCGAGGACCAATGCTGCCACGAGCTCGGCTGGTGGTGCGCTGGCCGTTGGTCCGGCAGCAAGCGGAAACAAGCGCGATGCGAGCGAAGGAGAGAAGGAGGAGGGTAGCGAGCCCAAGAAGAGGCGAATTGCACCTACCCTAGTGGAGCAGAAGCCGTAGAGGGCACCAGCTACTGTATGAGTGATCGAACCTTGTCCTGTACAATGAAATATGGGGAAAAGCGTTGCTTAGTTGGAGAATATGGGAATAAAGCAAATGTTGCAAGCTCTGATGGGCGGTGGGAGCCTTGATAGGTTGGAGCAAAGGCATCGGATACTTGCGCGGAGGTTGCACTCGCGAACGAATTTGTTTGCATGGCATGGCGTTGCTCGGGTATAACAAGGGCTATAGCGATATCTCTATAGTCATTTGAATGAGGTGCCCTATTCACAAGGCCATGGTCAGACATCGTTCGTGAATTTGTGGATCTCTGAAGGCAATGGCAATAGAAATGATGAGCCGCACGGTAGTGATGATCAACATTGAGAATTGCTGACGGAAGCATGTGGGGTCCGTGCAACGACATACCAACTTTTGGTGGAAATTGTCACTTTTCATAGCGAGATGTAGAACATTTCAGGAGCCTCTGAAAAATGACTGTTTCTCGTCGATATTCTGTCATTGCCTCTCAAGGTCTTTGTATACACAAGTAGCCTATATACACGATTTGAAACTGCTTTTTGCGGTGTCGAATACCCGTCAAGTGGAGATCCCATCATCATCATCATCATCATCAGTGAGGCCATGGCATCGAAACAACCGCCCGACTCAAGTCTCATTGAAAACCCTTTTATCAAGAAGCGCAATCTAGGATGGAGGTTGGAAGTCCCGGGTTCAAAGCTCAAGGACGACGGAAGGGAAGGTCAGAGCGAAGGAGATGAGCAGCCAAAACCACTGAACAAAGCCAGCAACGGGCAGAGTCAAGATCACCTGCTACTATTTTACTCACCATCCCATAAGGCCGGACCAAATCTCTCAGCGGCGCTGGAATCCGGCGCCGCAACGCAACCCGACCCGACAACCCACTTCTTCACCCACCTAGCAAAACGGACGCTCGACCCCTACCCGGCGCGCACGCCGCACCTGTCTCCACAGTCCGACGGTGCGTTCAGGACGCTCTTTTCCTCGCATGCAGGGTCGCGGCAGGGTGCGCACTTTGTGGTGCACCAGCACGACCACCCGATCGCGGGCGTGCACTACGACCTGCGGCTGCAGGTCAACCAGACGAGCAGTGTTAGTTGGGCGGTCATGTACGGGTTACCTGGGGACGCGAACTCGAAGAGGTTGAATCGGAATGCGACGGAGACGCGGGTACATTGTCTTTGGAATCACGTTGTTGAAGTGGGGGCGTTGGGGACGGGGAGCTTGGTTGTTTGGGATTGTGGGTGGTTTGAGGTTCTGGGGAGCAGGAGAGGGAGGGGGGGAGGGCCGGCTGTTGATCCGGATTCTGGAGGGGAGGATGTTGATAATGAGGATGGAAGGGATGAAGATGAAGAAGGGGGGGTGACAGAGCAAGAGAAGTTGGCGAGAGCTTTTGGGGAGAGGAAGATTCGGGTTCGGTTACATGGGAGTAAACTGCCCGAGAGGTACGTATTGAATTTGAGGCTTCCTAGGGGAGAGGACGCGGAGGGGAGGAGGAAGAGCGCGAGGGCGCTGGGGAGGCCTGCGAGGAAGAGGAGGCGCGGTGGCGGGAAGAAGCAGACGTATGTCGTCGAGACTAGCTCTGACGGGGAGGGCTCTGGTGGTGAAGGGGACGGTGATGTTGTTCCAGATCCTCTCGACGGTAGTGACGAGGGAGAGAAGGGCTTATCGGCCGTGGAGCGGGAGATTCGGGAGGTGGAGGACGAGCACGTCAGGAGAACGAACGCGTACAAGGGGGCGGAGAATAGCGTCGGGAGCGTGTATCAGCGGCGGTGGTATCTTTCGCTCGACCGGGAGGCGTGTGGGTTTGAGAGGAGGAGTGTTGGGGGGAAGCGGATCTGGGTTTTGAGGGATGATGGTGGTGGTGGCGGCGTTACTGGTGGCAGTGGCGGCGGGGAGAATGGAGGAGGCGGTGGTGAGGCTGACGAGACTGGGAGGCTGAGTTTTCCGTTCTATGTGAGGGGTCCCGAGGTGGAGAGGAGCATTGTCACCGGACGGAGGGGGGATGAGGTTTTGAGGGACGAGGGGGTTGAGGGGTTTGTGAGGAGGAAGGGGTGGAGGCCTGTTTTGGATTGAGGCATACGATTCCACCTCGGGTTGATGGCACGGGCAATGTGGACTAACCTTGGTAGTGACGAATATGTATGTTGGAGACGATTGAGCAGGGAGGGTTGAGGCGATTTGTACCTAGGATGGCGTATTCACCACCTGCTGCCCTGTGAATTGATTTGACGTCAACGTTGCTTGAAAAACTCAATGTGGATAATCATCGCAATGAAATCATCCGATGCAATCATCGACTGATACAACAGGCAACCCACCCTTCGTGCTTCCCCACCTAGGCAACCACAGATTAAAAGCGAGATCTCTCTCCTCCGAGACTCAACTCGCTTCGCCCGGAGCTGACCTAATCATTCCCTCCGAGCCCATCCACAGGACAACGGGGTCATACTATGCGCAACGTCGAGTGTCCCTTGTCCTGCATCATGATGGCAAAATCCTGCTGCTCCAGCATCCGCCCATACTCCCCCGCCAACCTCCACCGCGAGCCCAGCCTCTCCAGGCACCGCTTGATGGCGTTCATCTCGTCCTCGCACTCCAGGGTTCCCTCCTCCCGCAGCAGCCAGGCGAGGGTATTCGCAGCGCCGTAAAACGCGTCCAGGATCAGAGGGCTTACGCTACCAATATCTCCACCGCCTTGGCTACTATTGTTGCTGTTGTTTTTGTTGCCGTCGGTTTCACTTTCCCTCACTGTTTGGGAGACGAGGAGCAGCAGCTCTTCCGCCAGGACGGCAATATCTTTGCTGATCTTGAGAAGCACGTCAACGGAACGGGCCTGCTGCGCCGTCTCCTCGGGGGTCTTAAGGCGGCCGTCAGGACTCGAGGGGCAGCAGTAGAAGTCGTGCAGCAGGACGGCCGCGGAGAGCAGCACGCACCGCGGCGCCAGGAGGGGCAGCGGCTGCAACACCACTTCTCCCACGGGCTGCAAGTGCTCCAGGTTCGAGAACAGCGTCGCGGACAGGGCGTTGGCCTCGGCGATGGTGTCGGCTGGCGAGGCGTTTGGGTTCTGTTTGCGGTCCGAGGTCGCTTTGCGGACGTGGGTGATGACTTTGCCGGCGATGAGGGCGGAACGACAGAGGGAGGAGAAGGGGGCCGGCTGTGATGGTGGCGGGGAGGTGACGTTGTGGTGGACTGCGCGGCCGACGCGGCCTTCGTCCTGGGGATGTATTAGTCTAGCTGTGGCCGTTGTTCAGGGAAGTTAGGAGCATTTGGGGCAAGAAGGGCGTACCCAGATCTTGTCGTCTACGGGATACAACTCGTTGTCTTGCGGCTCGGGGGAGAGGTAGCGCTTTTTGTTGCCGAGGCAGATGATGCGGTCGAGGCTGATGATTGCCCACCATGTCCGCGACCGCTCTTCCAACTCGGTCCACGTTGTCTGTTCCCAAAAGAGAAAACGTCAACTGTCGTGCACAAGATTGCTTCAAATGGAAAGTTTTTTCAACTGTTGCATACGGGCGAACTCAGAATAACGTTTCCCTCGTGGAAGCTGGGCAGGCCGAGGAAATCGGCATATCGCACGCAGGTGGCGATGGTAATCCACGCGGCCGGGTACATGCCGTGCGCATACTCAAAGTAGGCGATGAGGGTCATTGACTGCAGGACCATAACCGAGGTCGCGCCACCGTTCTCCAGAAGGGACATGAAGCGCTTCGCGGCGCGGTAGATTGCGTGCTGGGACGTCGCGAGGATGTCCGTGGGACGGGTGGCCATGAGTTTCATTGCGAGAAAGAGCATGGCCAGGTCGGGCCCACCCTGGCTAAGGGCGACGCCCATATTCATACGCTTCTTGGAGACGATGGGGAGCCAGGTGTGGATGGTGGTGAAGTAGGCGTTTACCGAGTGTTGGATCGCGTAGCCGTCGCCGAGATGGTGCAGAACTTCCTGCGCAGATTGTCAGAGGGAGGAGGAGAGAGGATTTTAAATTTTTTTAAAATTGCCATCACGAATGGGCGCGTTCCTGAGCTAATCAGTACATTGCTTGCTTGGCACGTACATTTGGGATGTCGATGACGGGTCTCGGGAGGGATTGATTCAGGCATTCAAAGGAAGCAAGGTCGAGGAAGGCGTCTGGCGAGTATTGAGCCGAGGACTGCTGTTCCCAGAGCGGTTCAACGGGCGCGAAGACCGAGACAGCAGACGGCGTCTCCTCCATACCTCCTCCGGCAGACCCTGAGGCGGAGCTCGATCTAGGACCCTGACCGGGCCCCGGTGTGCCGCTGCCGTTGCCGATCCCTGAGGATATGGATGTGGGCGTGCTGTTCCTAGTGTTGAGCCGGCTCTCGAGCTCGTTGAGCTTCAGTTGCAGGGCAGCAAAGTCATCGGCGGTCGGGGCGGTCGGGGCGGGCTCGGCGTAGTCGCACCGGCGGTCCAAGCGGGTGCATAACCCGCACGCCGGGCGGGCCTTGTCGCATTTTCGCTTCTGTCGCTTGCAGCTACCGCAAGCCAGCGGGGCCTTGGCGTCGGGTGCGTAGCGGTCTCTGGGCATTAGGAGGAGGGACATGTTTTGGCCACGGGCTATGCTTCATGGCGATTTGCAGTTGGGAGGAGAGAGATTGCGCTGAAGCTAACCTTGCTCAGAAGGGACGTTGCTGACGGACACTGCTAAAATGGGTCACGCGCGATGAGATGTTTCGGGATAAGTAAGGTGGAATTACTTTACGGCTTAAGAATCAGATTTTTGGTCAGTTACTCTACACAGGCTGCAATGATTTGCAAAGTTGTCATTCCGTCCTCATGATCACCGTACTCTGAAAGGCATGTAGTTGCTTTGAGCATCAGACGTTGGGGGTTCAGAGACCGATAGAGGTTGGCTTGGCCGGGCTGGACGTTGACTGGGCCGAGCTGTGGGGCCGATTCTTTCCGCCGCTTCACCGCTGCACACCCGCCCGCCATCACCGTGGCAGCCAGCAGTGTAAACAGCTCTATGGGGGAAATATTGGTTTAAACACTGCCTTTTCGATCTAGTGGAGACAATTCGATAATGCTGATCAACGTCGACAATGCCCACGCAGCTCAGCTGTCAAATGGCGCAGGCCAAGCATTGCCTGAGCCCATCCTCGATAAGGTAATCCAGCGGACGGACGGCATGGATCATGTCGAACGATGGTGGGGTTGGGGATGCCCTGTCCTTGTCGTGGGAATTTCAAACCGACACCCGCCGCCGCAGCACCCCAGAAAAACATGTCCGGGATGGACCCCTGTGCTAAGCCCCAATGCCCCTTATTTGAGCTGGATAACGAGGCGGGCAAGCGGGCCATTATGTTTGTTCGACGGGTAAGTAAACATGACCCAATGAGTAATTAATCTCTGGGACTTTGCTTCCATTTCTCTTCCACTTATCCAACTTTCCTTTGTCCAGCTGCGTCGTCGCTGTCGTCGCTGAAGTCGCCGTCACAGTCGAACATCTCCGTCCGCCGTTTCCCCCCTCCCATTTCTCCTGTTCCTTAGCAGACCATGGCCGATTCCCCGAGCCGCTCCGGCAGCCTCCGAGTCCGCCGAACTCGCGGCGGGCCTTCGCGAAACTCCTCCGCCCGCTCTTCGGCCGCATGGGAGGATTACTCCTACCTCCACCCCTCCTCAGGCAGCTACCAACAGCAGCTACAGCCGCAACAGCAACAGATCCACCACAGCTTGCGATCGGCGTCGTCGCGATTCTCCCTCAACGAGCAGTTCGCCGCCACGCGGCGCGAGTACGAGTTCGGCGACGACGACGCCTCGTCCATCCTCGAGCGCATGACGCTCGCCTCCGATGTCGGCGATGAGAGCACCATTGCCGTGAGCATGGACACCGGGGATGCGGCGCAGGGGGTCGATGGCGCCGAGGGGGACTACTACGATCTGCTGTGTCTGGCCAAGGACCCGACATTGACGCCGGACCAGATTCGAAGGGCATACCACCGGTTGCTGCTGTACCTGCACAAGGACGGTTTACCCGAGAACCTGCATGGCATCGCGCAGCCCTTTTTCAATCAGGTGCAGAGAGGGTTTGAGACGCTGATAGATCCGTACCGACGAGCGCTGTATGATGCAAGCCGATTGAGGCACTTGACGAATGCGCCCGACTTGCTTCTTGACGAGGATTACCTATATGCCTATGATTCATCACTCAAGGAGCAGCTGCGGCAACGGGCGGCTGATGTAGTGCAGACGTCGTCAGATTTGGGCATCCGATTCGACGCGTCAAAGGCGGTGCGGCGAGGCTCTGCCGTGACACCCCTCGACTTCACCCTGAGCCACTCCGTGACTGTCGGTCTTCCGGTATTAGGGCGACTCATCGAAAGGAGAGCGTCGTCGAAAACGCAACGTATCTCGTCCGTATCGGAACGGGTGCCTTCCATTGAACTCAATGAGAGAGAGGAAGCTGGGATTGACCAGCCCCGGGAGTCCATGATCTACTTGCCGCCCCCGCAGGTGACTTTGACCGGATCTGTGTATGGCATCGTAGAGGAGATATACCGGGTTCCGTTGCCACTTTTAGCGGATCGATATCAACCGTTACTGCCCCTGACTATCCCCCGGAAACGTATTATACAACTGGCAGAGCAGCGCCCGTGTCCTCTCATCAGTCTCAAGTTTCGACAGGATATCATCCACAGGACATCTGAAGACCGCATCGCGAAGACTTCGATTGAAGTAGAAAGTGAAGCCCTTCCAAAGGCGTCACTAACAGCCAGGGTCTCACACCCGATCCACTTACCAAACGATCCGGATCCAATATTACTCGAGGGAAGCGTCAAAACAGGTAGGCCTTGGACGCAAGCGGCCCCTCGTGTCGGTATAGGAATTCACCGCTGGATGGGAGCTGGGACCGCGTTCGCAATCGCAGACAGCGGCGACTGGAGCGTGTGGCCCGGCAAGACGATCAAGCTCTTCACCGACTTCTCCCAGGTGAGCAAGAACCAGCTGCTCGCAGAGTTTCCCACGGAGACCTCTGCGAGCTTCGAAGTGGGATATACGACATCGCCCGAGCGGGTCCCGTCCACAGCCCACGAGGACTCCCCGAGAGGGGAATGCGGGATTCGGGGGCTGGACTACGAAAGCACCATCACCAAAGACGGCTCCTGGACGGTCTCCGCTTCCCTGACGGCAGACACCGTCGGCGGCTACCTCCGGTACGGCAAGGACGTGCCAGCGCTCCCCGGCTCCAACTCCACCAGGCTCGAGCTCGAGTTGTGCTCCAACACCCTGCTCGACCGCCACATCGCCGTACGCAACCTCTGGACCGTCGGCGAATTCTCCAAGCTCGGCCTCGAGCTCGGCATCAGCCTGCACAGCCTGCACCTCTCCCTCTACTGGTCCCGCCTTAACCAGCGCCTCAGCATCCCGCTCCTCCTCTCCCCGCGCGCCGACTACTGCCCCGCCGTGTTCTTCTACGCGACCGCCGTGCCTCTCATCGCCTTCGCCGCGCGGCACTTCTTTTCAGGGCCGAAACGTGCCCATAGGCCCGCCGAGGTGGATTTGCAAGCGTACATCGCCCGCAAGCGTGCCGCGGCCGACGACATCGCCCTCGTGCTCTCGGGGGCCGTGGACGCCCGGCAGCGCGTAGAGCGTCAGCGGGGCGGTCTCGTCATCGTCAGCGCAAAGTTCGGCGTCAGGGGGGAGGGCGGAGAAGAGGGCGAGGGCGAGGGGGACCCGGACTGCTGGGCCGCGGAGGAGGTCGCGGACGTTACAGTCGCGGTGGCGGCGCTGGTGGAGGATGGGACGCTGCGGATCCCGGCCGGCGTGAAGAAGGCTTCGCTGCTGGGCTTCTGGGACCCGGCGCCATTGAGGCGCAAGGCGCTTCACGTGAGGTACACGTGGCGAGGCAGGGAGAGTACCGTCGAAGTCATGGGGCGGGATGAGCTGGTCCTCCCGCCCGCGAGGAGGGATCTGTCGTGACGATGTATGTACCTCTTGATGTATGATGGCATGTATGAGATAATGTTGCATTACCGGAGTTGGAAAAGGGGAAATTCGAGGGGATTGCATAGGGAGGTATTTTGCGATTTCGTGGGCTTTGTCGGCCATGTTGCAAACCCGAACGATGTCGAGTTATTTGAGGAAGGAGTCGATTGTTTCATGCATGTGAATGTGCTTCTAGCGTCAACTGAAGATGCTAGGCACTGCAATCGGGATTAAAGACTGGTCCTCATCGGGTGCAAGAGGACGTAGCTCAGTAAGGATGGACGTAGTTCACCAAGGTCAACAAAGATTACATGACTGACGGGAAATGAGGCGGTCGTCGCAGCTTTCCCAGATCCCAACTACTTTCAGGACCCATAAAGACGGTGTAGAATGCTGGCTACGGCTTTCCTCGGCGACGGCGCATGATTAAAAGCGGTTGTGCTGGCTTCCTCTTTAGTTGTGGCCTCTATATTCGGGTGAACGTCTCGGAAAAGGCAACTGCATCCGAAGCTGCGTCGCCGGCGAGGAGCAGGGCTGCTCTCAACTCTGCAAAAAGCTCACCTCACCATGTCGGAGGGTTGGTGTGCGGCAAAGTAAGTCTACATGCGGTTTCCAGAATGGTATGCAGTCCGATAAAGAAGGCTTATAATGCTTTCTCTCCCTATAGCAACTCTGGTGCCTGCTGGTGCACTCGCGACGACACAAAGAGTTTCATCGACGCCAGCCGCCCTGTTGATAAGAGGGATGAAATTAAGACCTGCCGTGAGACCAAGTCCTAAGGTGCGACAGGTGATGTATGATGATTAGGTAGGAAGCTTAAGCTGTGGACATTGCCAGGGTTGTGATTGAATCCAGAACTCAAGTGCGTGTGTTGGCCGTGAGAGACTTATCAAGATACATAACGGCGCCAGTAAGCGCTATCATTCTGTGTCTTTTCAATCAGAAGTTCAACTCAGATTAGGAATTCATTCTAAGTTTGAACACTGTGTAACACAATAAGGTACGCAGAAGAGGAGAGTGACACCAAGTACAAATCCAATATACTACCTCACTAATTTCGTGGGAGAGAAACCGTGAAGGAGTAAAATTGAGACGGCAACAGTCGTTAACGAATCATTCCATCACGCATTACAAATACGAAGCCAGCTAGTTGATTGGCATCTCGTTCAGACTTTAGATAGGTTTCAGAATCCAGGCAATTCTACATCCAGAGCTCGCGAAATTTGATTGGCTCACTCTAACTAGCCTTTTTTAGAGTTAGAAGAGATTTATTTCGTTGAGAAAAACATTACATTCGGAGGCCAATGCAGGTACGGTAGGCCACACGAGGTGGACTGAGGATGATCAAGTTAGCTACAGAGCCCATTATCAAGCTGATGAACGATCAAAACCAGATGCAATACAGCGATTGAGTAATGATACTTGAAAATTGTAAGATGCCACGAACGAATCAATTCATAATCTTTTACAAGATCAAGTATTATCAAGATCCTAGAAATTATGTGACTTTTGTTTTCTGGTGCCTTGTGAAGTACTTATACTGCAGTTGGAAGAATGTATGTATATACATGAAATATAGAGACCACAAAGTGAAGCATCAAACCTCCTGCAACGTAGTCGCACCAATAGCCTGACCAGACTTGGGGATCAAAAAGTTGCTCCCCTGCACCTTTTTGTCCGCACCTCTAGGGCCCTTCAAAACCGAAACATCAACGCTTACAAAAGAGCTATTCGACCACGTCGTCCCCGAGTTCCACGAGTTGCCCTTGGCCGTCACAGTACTAACGAGGCTCACCTGCGCAGAGCCCACGTTGACCGCCGCAACGTTGCCCGTCATCACCGAAGACGAACTGCGCATAAGGAACCCCGTGTCCCCGTTATTCCACGCCGTGTTCCGCTCAAACGTCAGCGCGCCGGGGTTCCCGTTATCGATGAAGCCCTTTTTGAAATTACTAAACGCGACGCAGTTGCGCACGACGTGGTTCGCGGGCGGGTTATTCGTAATACCCAGCTTGAAGCCGTTGCCGTCGCCCTCAAAGGGGTTGAAGCCCCACCGGTTGTACCCGTTGGACCAAGAATAGATCTCCTCCAGCGTGACGGGCGACGCAAACATGTAGAGGTCGAGGCCGTCGTCGACATTATCCCAGAGCCGGGCGTTGCGGAGGACGTTGCCCTCGCCGGAGCCCTCCTTACAAGCGAAGCCGTCGGCGCTCTCTCCATTCTTGCGCGGATCGCGGTTGCGGTACGAGTCGAGGTTCGTGACCGTGTTGTTGGCGGAGGCGCCTTCGAGCTGGAAGCCTGTTTCGTAGTTGTCGTGGGTCGAGAGGCCGTCGTAGTAGTTGTGAGATGCGTCGCGAGCGTAGATGCCGTAGGGACCGTTCTTGAGCCTTTGTTTTTACCATTGTTAGTCAGTTGCACTGCCTAAATCACAGGAATCATGGGCTATTAAAAACATACTCTAGGTCATAGAATGCCCAGTAGTTGGCATTCTGGATATGAAAGATTCCGCGCTCAGAATTTGGCAGGGACTCGTCTAACGCTTTGGGAGTTCTTTCCCAGTGTTAGCCACGTCCCCTTATGACAAGTCTGAAAAGTTGCAGATTTCTCAGCGTACCCCGGCATATTCTCTCCATCAATGACGACTTTCTCCCCCTGATAAGGCCTGACGCTGATCGGAGACGTCCTGGTCCCGCTCTTTGCCACCTGAATGTTCGTCGACGGCGCGTAGGTGCCCCCACGGAGGTAGATTGTATCGCCGGCGGTTGCGGCGGTGACGGCGGACTGGATAGACCCGTAGGGGCTCTCGAGGGTTCCCGAGCCCGTACCAGTGGGGGATACAAAAATGTCACGGGCGGCCGCGCCGCCGCCGAGGATCGCGAGGACCGCGGCGTTGAATGAGACCATGGCTGGGAATTTGACTGACGGCACGGGTTTCCAAGTATGCAATATTTCCGTCGCAACTAGGCCCTCCATCAATAACTTATAACCGTCAATCACTTATAATCTAAAAGGATTCTGCCAAGAGAGACAGAAACTGGGTTGCTACGCGAATTCAAAGGCCGCTCACCATACCAACCAGTTCCACAAGTGGGCGTTTGTCCCAAATGTAACCTTGCCTGCCTCCGGGACGTATCCGTACCAAAACGGCTAAATCAGAAATCCCCCAATCACAGGCCCCTGTCTGTAGCAGATCAGGAAAGGGGGAGCTAGCAGTCAGGGAGCAGGCATCGACTTGGTTTCGGCGAAACCTCCTCGAATGGCAGGCCCCGGAGAAAACAATCCCGCAAATAAATGAAATTCCAGTTGATCTTGCGCAATCGCTTTGGAATTATTCGTTTGAGCGGAAATCCATTTGACAGAGTTGGCATCGTCCTCTCAGAGTTGCTCGCGTGCTTGTTTTGTCGTCCTTTGGTCCCCTTTCGGCCAATCAATTAAGACTCACGAATCGGGGCTGCTTATTTTCTCCTTGTTTGACGTCGGCAATCATCCACGAATCGTATTCATCATAAAAACCTCACGGAGAAAATTCCTTTCCGGATTCAAGTTTCTCCCTGTTGTAAATGTCTGAACATAGTCCATGGATTGGAGGTGCATACCAAGGCAACGTCAAGACACTGTCCAAATGCCCACATATGAAGATTGTACAAATGCCTGCGACTTGAAAGGACAGTGGCCCTTGCGCCATCTGTCCCGTTATCGAGGAGTTCAATTAGAAGCCCAAGTATCCCAATTCTCACCGCTAAAGTCAGGCCAGTATAGCCCCTGCAAGTCATCGTAAAACGACACCTCCAAGAACTGCAGATCCAACACCGGCTGCGCCAAAAGCTCTTCTAGCGACGGCTCCGTTAGCGCCATACCCGCTGTGGTGGCTCCGGCTCGGACGGGCAGCCCGCCGAGACCGACTTGCGATGTCATCGCTGGGCCGGGGCCGAGGCCGGGTGGAGGCGGTATCCCATCATAGGAGGAGGCCTGCTGCTCGGTGGTCAGTCGGTCAATGCTACGCTTCGCGTAGAACCTCTCGAGTTCCGCCCTCATCACGTCAACATGAAGGCAATACTCCTGCGCGGCGAAGTTCCCCGCGTCTCGTAGCTGCGAGAGGAACCTGGCCGACTCCTCAAAGGCCTCCCTATCGTCACTGCGGCGGCTCTCATTTGGTTCCGGCCCGCCTTGAAGGAGGCTCGAGGCGGCGAGGATCGTCAGCGCGGAAAAGAGGTACTGCGTGTAAAAGTAGTCAAACGTGGCAAAGGACCCATCGATCCACGAGTCGGTGAGGAGGCGAATCGAGTGGCGCGCGCAGCGGATGCACGCTTCCGACAGGGTGATGGCGCTCGCGGGGACTTGTGTCTCTGGCGCCATCGCGGCCGCTGGGGACGTGGACGGCCACGAGGCTACCTGGGTTCGCAGTATGTGGAGCAGGATCGGGCGCGTTGCCAGGATAGCGCACTATTAAGAGTACTTTAGATTGACAAAGACTTCCCGTCGAGTTTCGGGTTGTGGATTACCTGGTTAAAGGAGAGATGGAGGGAAGTGGGTTTCGGCCCGGTGCCCGCGTAATCAATCTGCAAATGGGCGGGTAAATCCTCTACCCAAGCCCTCAGATCCTTCAGCGCCTGCTGGACCCTCGTAGAGAGGGTAGTCGCCTCTCCCTGGGTGCGCTGGCCGTAGATGGAACGGACCGTCTTGGTGATTAACGCCGCCAGCCGCAGGCTAGCCACGTGGTACGCGGTATCTTCAAAGTCGGCGCCGTGCGCCAGCTCAGAGGGCAGGTCCACGCCGACGTCGCTGTCCTGGATGGCGGTCGGGTGGCCCAGCTTGGAGGCCCAGGTCCGGTCAAAGATGTAGGTCGTCCAGAAGAGCCGCTTCCGGTGCTCGCGCAGGCCCGGGTCGCGGAGCTGGGATTCCGGGATGTTAAGGTGTAGGCCCATGACGATGGCCATGCGCATCGCCGTGCCGGACATGACGAAGGCGCTGTATCGACGGTTGAGGGCCAGAGAGTAGAAGGACTGAAAAGGATAAGAGTCTACGTAAGATAAAGGTGGTATCATTGCAAACTCACGAGAAGCAGCATTATCTCGATGGAATCCGTCCCGGGGCGCTCATCAAGCACACCGAGGACCCTAGACGCCTTTGCAAAGTACGCCATGCCAGGGAAATCTTTCTCCGAGGGGATAGACCTTGTCGAATAGAGCTCCCCGATCGCAAAGAGCGCCCACAGCTTCGACCTGAGCATCAGGTCGCCCCACGACGGGTTGTGTATGCTCTGCTCGAGGTTCTCCATGACGGAGCTGCGCCGCACGACGTGGTGCCGGCGGACGACGTACTTGAGCGCTACTTCAACGAGGAACCGGGACCGCGAGGGCGTGGGCCAGGCGACCTCGGAGGACTTGACGAGGGCCATGAGCTCCGCGTCGGGGGCGTAGTTTACGCGGAAAATGTGCCGCGGCTGGGGCGCGTAGGGGTCGGAGATGACCTGGCGGAAGCGGGTCGAGAAAGCAGCATCGGCGACCTCGCCGATGAGAATGGGCGTTCGGAAGACGTTGGCGTTGATGAACCACGGTCTCACTTCCAGTGTTGCTGTTGCTGTTGCTGTTGCTGTTGCTGCGCCCGCCGCTGCCACCGCCGCCGCCGTTGGCTCTTCATTGTCGCCTCCCTTTGCGCACGTCGGCGCCAGTAATACCTCTCTGTTCCCGATGTCATCAGTACTATGAGATGTTGTCGTTGTTGTCGTCACGTCATCTGGCGGCGCACAAGTAGAGTTTGAGGCGCTCTTGTGGGCAAGCTGGCTCTTGAGACGACCGATGTCGTTCAACAGGCCGTCAATGTAACTGTGTTTGTATAACACATTTTGCATGAGCTCATCATTTTCCCCTTGGTTCGCATTGGGGGAGAGGGGGGGGCGGAAGTCAGGGTTTCTTGTTTGTTTTGTTTCATTCTACCTTTGTCTGACCTTGACCTGTCTGTTGCGACGCGGGTAAGTGCACTCAGCACCTTTCCCGGCATGACGACAATTCTGGCAGGGCTGATCGCCGGAGCATTTTACTTTTCGCGAGTGGCATCTGCGGCAACTGGCGGCGGAATAAGAGCTTGATTAGCCGTCAAACCCCCGTAGGAAATCGAACGACGATCTGGCGAGGGAAGTGTCATGAACGGAAAAGAAAGGGGTCTTTGAACGAGCTCACGCAGTTGATTTGATCGGCGGAAGAGGTCCGTCTTCCAGGGGGCATCTTCGGCTCCCGGTCTCCGTCGTGCTGGGCGGGGTGCTGTTGCGAGCCGCCATGACGGGAAGGGCATTTTCAGGTTGCCGTTGGAAGAGGGAGGGAGAGAAATTTGATACCAAAAAATGGATAATTTAATTCAATCCATCTCTGCGAAATCGTTATAGTCAACTGCCAGCATTCATTTGGGCCAAGAATGTGTCAGAGAAAAGGGCGCGCTCTCTCTCTCTCTGTCTCTCTCACCGATGACGGCGAAATGACAGGACGCCGATACGCCGGGGGTGTCAAGGTAAGGTAGTCTTGCTTCTTGCTTGGGAAGTCTCAAAGGGGCAATTTCTTTTCCCCAGATTCTTGCCCAGCGGCCCGAGCTTTCGTCCTCTCCGGTCTCGTCGGCAAAGCGACGACTTTGCCGAGATGAGTCATCCGACTGCTCCAACATCGCGAAGCTCCCTCACCTCACTTCCTCCGGTCCTGTGTGTGCTTTGCTCGCACCTGGGCGCCCCCGTTTCCATCTGACTCACCTCATAAACTTTTCACAATGTGCACAAATTCCTACGGATTTCATAAAGGGTAGCGCCGGGGGAAGGTAAGGCAATCCAGGCAAACTGAGCACCAGTGACCACGGACGACTTTCCTCCGTCACGCCATCTTGGCTGCAAAATTCTTGGAGCCAGCGGAGTGTAGGAATTGATTACACAACTCAGTGCTTCGTGCCGGATACGTGGTAACCAGCTTCACTTCCTACAGACACACCGGCCAGCTCGATACCAAGGGTGCTGCGCACCTTCGCATGGACTCACATTGTCGTCGGCTTGAACTTCACGGCGGGATCGGTGGATTTGGTGCACAAACCTGGGAAGGTACTTTCAAAATATTGTTTTCCTGAAGGCTTTTGCTGCAAGTGTTACATCATCTTAGTCTCGCTGCTCCGCACAGGAGTCTCGAAATTGCTACCACCGCAAGCCGTGGGGGCGGAAGAGCTTGACTTTACGTCAATCGGAGAGGGGATAGTCGCAACATGGCGATCAGAGAGATAGCCAGCCTTCATGTCGCTGCATGAATGCAATGGAGGAGAAGGCTGATAGATTTTTTTCTCGCGTTCATACCAGTGGACTCTCCAGTGATCCAGGGATGACGAAGTCTGCTTCGCAATCAACTAAAACTGCTGCACATCCCAGAACTCCTCGTGGTCAAATTGCAACGAACCATGGGCGTCCCGTTGATGGCTTCTTGCATGACCTGCGGGGACTTGTCAAACAATAGATAAAAGTTGTTAAATGCCGGTTAGAAATCATACCCAACCACGAACAATACTGTCGATGAGTCCGCTCCTCTCGACCTCGGCGCCCTCTTTTGACACAATCTCGTTAACAAAGTTCATCCGCAGGAGCGTTCCTGGGACCAAAGCGTCATCGATCACGGAATAAACATACCGGCAAGATCGACGCCTTGGCCATCGTCAGCGACTAGGGGACTCTTACGCCAGCGCAGTGGCGCGCAGCGTTCCAACGGTGCGGCATCTGGCTTGCCAACATATAGGGCGTAGTTGACAACCGTGCCGGCAACGACGAAAAGATCCCTGTGAAAGACTGTTCACTTCATTTAGCGTTTAGACAAGCAAAGGCCAGCTTACGGCAACACGACGCCGGCCTGGAGATCATCCTCTATACGGCCGGCCCAACGGCAGCAGCCCAAATCTAGGTCTGGAAGGAGGATTTGAGGCAACTCTCGAGAGCCCCTCCAGATCAGGCCAACGCCGACAAGCAAGCGGTACTTCTGGACCTTGTTTCCCACGTTGGGTGGCCCCAGGAGGTCTTACGTGCTATGCAGTGGTTGAGGCTCGCCCTCTAGGCGCAAGGCTGGAAGGGATCTGTCAGGTCTGTTACCACTGTCTCATGTGGACGAGAAACGGGTGGCGTACTCACGGGGCGTGTAGTTGTTGTGGGAAGCCGGGAGGTCGAGAGGAAGCTGCAAAACTAGGTCTATTAGCATATCCGAAGACACATTGACGGGTAAGTATCGTACTTGCAGAGAAAATTGTCGAGGTAATCGACTGCTGGTTTGACTCACTCTGCCAGTCAGTCACACCATGAATCATAAGCATCGTTTTTCTTATTCCTTTTTCACGCATCCAAGAAGTTCACTTACCAAATCGTCTAAGTTGCTAGTAAACGAAGCGCAATATATCCATATTTCCTAGACCCAGATGTCAGCTAGATGAGAGAGGCTGCGAAGTTGCCAACGTCCTCACTTATTCGCACATGCTTGTCACATAACGTGCGGCCCCGGTCGAATCGGCCGAGGCTGAAGAGTATAATGGGGTTGTATTGAGTTTCGGGGGTTTGCTAATATACAAGACCGAGGCTGGCTTTCATGGAGAACAGAAATGGTGCCAAAACAAAGATGGAGGCAAGAGAGACCAGGCGACGGCGACCTTGAGCATACTAGTGCAGAGATCTAGACTTTTGCAAGGCCAAATCTCAAAACACGGAGGTCGGAGGAGTCGCGGTTTCAACCAAAATGTGAATATTTGAACTTTAATTACATGGCTAATTATTCAAGGGGCTAGAAAGGTCACTTGAGAAGTTGACTATGGAGTGAAAACGGTGAGTCGCCAGTGAAAATACCGAAGCATGGGCTCTGGAGACTCCAGACGTTGTTGCATCCTTGATGCTTGGGACCTTGAATATCTCCATCTTATCCGCAGGGTACCTATGCAGATGCCACATCTCACCTATTCTTGGATCCATCATCCTCTAGAATCGGTCTAGAATCGCCCAGATACGTGCCAAAGCAGTCCAGCCCACTATTCAGGCAAGCCGCAAGACATCAGTTATTTGAATATGGGTAAGATTAAGATTGATCATAGTGCTCAAGAAATGTAGAATGCCGGCTGAAACTCTCCATTTCCACAAGTTTTGTATTCGAATGCCTTCTATTGTCATCTGAACATGATGAATTCGTCAGTTGACGGAGCAAACACCAAAGCATTATAATATCCGTGATAGGCTTGAGACTCTGTATGGACTTTTTCAAGGCCCCTTCTTCTGAACAGGCAGCATGGACCATGGAGCCGTAGACCGTGGTACTTGCGCGGACTCACAGTTCCACACGTATCTTAGTCAATCAAACAGCGCTCAGCAATGCAGTACTTACTCCCTAGGTAATATCACATAGCCATACAGAATCATGTGAAGGCAAGGGGGATCTTGGGGGCTACCAAAGGTACATCAGGTGCACGTTGTCAAGAGTCTGTCCATACTGATCTACAGCGGTATCAATTGGCGTTGGCACGGGGGTTTCTTGGACTTCTGACCCCTACGACCTTGGCTCGCCAGACACGCAACACCAAGGACGTCAAAATAAACTCAGACACCCGTGGACCTTCTCCGTCGGATCACAGCAACGTGTCTCCACCGGCCCACACAGTCTGCCCTGGTTTACGACGGGAGACTACCTTATACTACAACCACAGAGCACAACCGAGCACCAAAGTACAGGAAACCCCATGATACTATAGGACACCACCGCGCACCATAAACAAACCCGCGGACCTGAGCAGACCTAGACCGCTCAACACCACCAGGCGGGGTCCGATTGAACTGGGAGCCAAGTCCTGTCAATTGCGTGTCTCGGCCGACACGACGGGACATAGCCGCGACTGACTTCACCCCGGATATCTCGCTCAGGAACAAGGCTTCCCAAAGTGAATCGCTGACAGCTGTATTTTCAACATGAATGAGATGCACTACTTCTGACAATTGTCATTCCCAACATACCTTATGCTACCATGCGGATCTCAGCGTCGCCCTTCTTCCTCTTCCTCTTCTCGCTGCCGGACCGAGAGAGAGAGCCTCGAGACCGCGTGCTTCGGCCCGGGATGATGAAGAAGATCGCACTTCCAAGTGTCCCGGCTCTTCTACACCAATCTATCTCCCAATTTCTACTTCCCTGAAAGCCAGTTGCTAGTGTGGCATTAACTTGAGGTACTTGACCTCACAGGCGAGATATCATGCATCGTAGCCGCCCCTCCGCCACCGCCCGACAACTGCAAACATATATTGGATGCGAGCTGTAGCACTGCGCCATTTAGGTCTACTCTACTGATGTTTATCTTTGCTGTGTACGCCTAAATCACTCAGTGATTCTTACCTGTTGTTGCTACAGTCAGCCCCCCCGTCGTTCCCCTGTCATCCCTGAAGCCTGTCGATTCGATGTAGTTGAGACCGCACTACCCGCCCCCGGCTATCGCAATACAACAGTTTTTGTCAATTTGGCTGATTTATAAGCTGGACGGAGATTTTTCGGGACGCCCGCACGGCTTTGAACTTGCAGGAGCCCGGTCGTGACGCGTTAATCAGGCTGCACGCTCTCTCGTAACTTGATTGTTCAACAGCCTCAGTCAACTCGTACTTGTCATGCAACCCAAGCTAATAAACCCTGGTTTACGTCGCCATCGTCCTCGTTGTCGATGAAAGAGTTCATGGCGAAACACGCAGACTCGTGGGTCGCGCTGGCTCGTGAACACGGCCTCGAGGAGGGAGCTGCCGTGGAGTTCAACCGGGACTTTTTGCACATGATGCTAGTGGAGTGCGACTTTGACCGGGAGTATGACCTGACGCGATCGCGCGATGTTTGGGTTCACGGAGGAGGGCTGCGAAGCAGCTCCCGTCTTTCCAGACACACAAACCGTTTAATGTCATTCGATATAGAAAGATACCGAGTTCCTGGATTCCACGGTACAATACACCAGAGATTGAAATGATCCTACGTATTGACAAGCTCCCACAGTCGAATGTGACTTTCTCTTGCTGCCAGTAACTCCTACTTATGCTTCCTCTCGAGGTAAAAGCCTCTTTCAATCACTGCGGGACCACTCTCGAACTGGGCTGCGGGTAGTTTCTGATCATTTCTGGTTCAAAGGTTGCATGTACATCGACAATCGGTCAATCTCTTTGAGGCAGTCCTGTTCGGGAGAATGTCCCAAATGACCCGCCCGCAAGTTGACATGAACGCGGGAATCTGCCACTCCACAGACGAGCCGACACAACTCGAACCATTCCATCGCCCCTTGAGCCACACGCGATGGCGGACAACACCGGACATCCTACATGTAGGTAGTTGGTTCGGCAAAGAAAGGCTGTCGGCATTCTCTGAGTCTGGACACGGGGGCAGGTGGATTTGGATTTCCCCCTTATATGCGTCGAAAACGACGGAAATCAATGCGACGTTGGGGGGTGGAAGTCAACTTAAGAGAACGTTGCGGCGAAAGCGGTCGGGCAGGGATAATTGAGAAACAAAAGACGACTAATCGATTCTGGGCAACAATACTAAGGTACATACATGCACGCACAAACACAGTCCGCGCCGTGGTATGAGTGTGGGGTCGTCTGAGGTCATCGCTGGGTTTAATTCGACGTCCGGCCAAGTCGGGTACCCCCAACTCCCATTTACCGCCTAGGTTCCAGAACTGCCCAACTATCTTCAATGCGACCAAGGTTACTCTCTATTTTGCATGCTCTCAATTCTAGAGTATCATATTGGCTTGGTTTTCATTCATTAGCAACAAAGATGGAGCCGAGTCTTGATGGCCGACTCCCGGGGTCTCACAACCTCTGGCGTCACAGCCCAGCCATTGCAGTTGGCCCAGGCTCCGTCGCACGCTACAGCGCATCCGGAACTACTCAACAAAGAACTGAAAGATGGGAAGAAGGCAGCTTTATATCCTGATCCAAAGTGCCGAGGTACAGGGAGGTCTCGGCCCACGTTCTTCAGTGACCTGGCGCTGTCAAATGGAGCGTTGGGGCACTGTGCCAAAGCTTTCTCACTGTGCTTGATTTTCCCTAGCCTCTTGAGACGAACGGCCATACCGAGGAACACCTAAGCTCGCCTCCAACCTTTTCTTATGCATAAAAATCTCCACCAAGGAGTCAAAAGCCGTCATCGCGGCTGGGTATCATATCCCCCCTGGCCTCCCCTCCAGATTCTCACTCATCTCGGACCCATCTGCCCACGCTTCATGCCCGACTGGCTCAACAAGTCCACGTTCCGCGGCAGATCGAAATCTCCTCTCGCCTCGAACCAAAACAGCATCTCCGGCTCCGGCCCCGTCGGTTTCGACGGCTTCGCCTGTTGCGACTGCGGCTGCCCAGACATGACCACGTCCTCGTCGCCATCGCCCTCCCCTTCCCCTTCCTCATCACTCTCTTCGTCATCCTCCTCCTCCTCGAGCCCCCTCTTCAACCCAGTCCTCACATTCTCCACGCCGCGGTGCCGCTCCTCCTCCGTGTAGACGTCGCCCGCCTCTTCAAGGACGTACTTTTGCACCCGCTCGACGGTCCACTCCCGTACGTCGCACCATACTTCCTCGAGCCGCGCCTCGCCGTCTGGCGACGTGCGCAGCTCTCGCGTCGTCTCCCGCCCGCGCTCCACCCACTCCTCGACGCCCGGCTCCAGCTTCTTGCGGAGCAGCTGCAGGAGTATGTTCTCGTGCACGCGGCCCGGATAGGCGACGTCCGGGAAGACATGGAGGTGCTGAAAGACATGCGTGTTCTCGGTAAGGGTCTCGAGGAGGGATTGGAGGTTGCGGAGGAGGATCTGGGACTGCGCTTGAAGGGATGCCCTGGCGCGCCATTGTTAAAATACGTTTCATTGCCTTTAGAAGTCATGGGCGTTGGAGTCGACGAGTCCTCCAACGCGAAGCTGAGGGGAGAGAAACTTCGGGGTGCAATTGGGCGAGAGCAGAGCTCTCGCGGGTAGCGGGGCACGGGCAACTCACGGAGGAGGAAGCGGGTTGCTCTTCAAGACGTCCATCCGAAGGCCCTGGATGCTATTGGAGAGCTGAAATAGACGCTGGCGCGTCTGCTCGATCGCCTTGAACTCATCAGCGGTAATCCCGAGCGCGTTCGGCTTGTCCATTGTCGCAGATTTTGATCGTGGCGCGGCTGCGGCAGCCCGGTTCAAGGAGGTTTCAATCGTGGGGTTCTCTCGGGGGATTGCTCGCGACCGACGCGCCAACGCCACAAAGCGGGATTTGAAGTGGTTGCAGAGTCGCGAGAAAGAAGTGTTTGTGTGTACTGGCAATGTGTTGAGAGGCGGTGCGGCAGCTCAATCGATTCTCCCAGCGTCGAAGTCGCGGGGGTAAGCGAGGGGTGGTTTTGTTTGTGAACTGGAAGCTGGAGCTGACATGAGGTTCTAAGAAGCTTTCGTCCGGCTGGGCAGTGGGAACGACAAAGTGACGTTTAGTAGGTACCGCTCGGCCGGGAAGCATATAAGTGGGACTACTAGCTCCGCGTCACGGTGTGTGCCCCGCTGGCCGGCGCATCCCAGCACTGCAAGAATTGAGCAGGGGCCATGCGGGACGGAATCCTATGGGTTATAAGGGGACTACGATCCCTCGTGGCGGAGGCTGGACTTGTGTGGCGCTCTTCCTGGTCACAAGGAACACCGATCTCAATTGGGTTCAGGCATGCATGTTTGACGTAAGGCATTCGATCATGGCCAATGGCGTACCAAAACTTACCTTGTCAGATGAAGCCAAGGTGGTCTCGAGACACCATTTCGGGCACGGCAAGACCACAACAGCTGGTCAACTGAGGTAGTATAAACGTAACGTTGATGAACAGTCTGAGCTTCGGACGGTCGTTTACCAGTCCTGAAGGTTGCACTTCGTTGTCACAATTCATGCTCGGAGACGGTACTGAAAGTGACTGTCACTACGTAGCAACTTGCTTGTGTACTAAATTTTGGGCATTCATTTCCTAGGCCCCCTTTGAGAAATAATATACAGACGGCGTCTGATTCGTCTTGGTGACCATGCTCGGACGCCTAATCGCATCGCCTCGTCAAAATATCTGCGAGGAAGAAAAAAATTTCGCGTGCTGTAAATCAAATGATATGCCCCAACGCCCTCTTGACATGCATTTTGGTGTCGTCATCATCATAAATGAGCAATCCTGAAATATTCACTGGCCGTGGGATCCAGCTTGATCATAAAGGACTCTGTGACCGGTTGTGGCCCTGTCGACCTCCCGGCCATACTTGTCCACAGGTGGGTATCGAGCCCGACGCTCGAGGTCATCGAGAGGAATCTGTGACCGAATGTACCTGAGATGTGTTAGCATCGGGTCGGTGTAACAATGACACGGCCTAACTTACTTCATTCTACCGTCGTCGATCGGGTCGTAGTCCCAGCTGGTAAACTGGCCCTGGGTAAGAGCCCCCCATACGAGGCGACGCTTGCGCTGAGACTGCAGGACTTGCTCCGTGATGGCATCAAAGTCCCACTTGGCCTTCGTCTCGGCATTGTACTCCTCGAGCTTTGCCTTGGCTTCTTCGTCAAGCAGCTTGCCAGTGATGGCCTTCTGAGACGCCAGATTGACCAATTCAAGCGGATCATGCTCGAGGTTGAATAACTGGGTACCGTCCGCAGGGCAGTGGATGTACTTCCAAGGGCCTTCCCGAATCATCATGAGCGGACTGATCGTGCCCTCGCCAGTGTACTCAGCATAGACCTTGTCGTGACCAGTCTTGCCCTGAAGGTGAGGGAGCAAGGAAACGCCGTCCATGGGAAGACCAGGAGCAGGCTTTGTGCCAACCAAATCGCACAGTGTCGGAAGAATGTCGAGGGTAGAAACGTTCTTGTCCACACGATGGGGCTCGAACTCCTTGGGGTGGCGGACAAACAGTGGGACTCTGACTGAAGACTCAAAGTAGCTCATCTTGTACCACAGTCCACGCTCGCCAAGCATGTCGCCGTGATCGCCGCTGAAGACAATGATGGTGTTGTCGTCAAGACCACATTTCTTCAGAACGGACAGGAGTCTTCCAACGCAATCATCGACGTAGCTGACAGCGCCGTAGTATGCCCGGCGGGCCCGCTTAATCTGGTCATCGGTGAAGTCGTAGTCCCAAAGATCGCAGACCTTCATGAGACGCTTGCTGTGAGGGTCCTGTTCTTCCTTGGGAATTCGAACCTTGGGAAGAGCGATATCGACGTCTTCGTAGAGATCCCAGTACTTGTCCTCAATCGTGTAGGGGTCGTGAGGGTGAGTCAGAGACACCGTGAGGGCGAAAGGCCGCTTCTCAGGACCCTCACGAACGTGATCGTAGAGGAACTGGGTGGAGCGGAACATGACCTCCTCATCGTAATCCAACTGGTTGCTTCGCACGCAAGTGCCAGCCTGGAGAATGGAGCTGGAGTTGTGGTACCACTCGAGGCGGGTATCTGGCTCATCCCAGTTGACCACCCAGCCAAAGTCGCCGGGGTAGATGTCGCTCGTGAGACGTGTCTCGTAGCCGTGAAGCTGGTCCCCAATGAAATGCATCTTGCCGGCCAGCGCAGTTTGATAGCCCTTCAGACGAAGGTAGTGTGCGTAGGTAGGAATCTCACTGGAGATCTGGCTGGCGTTGTCATAAGCACCAATCTTCATGGGCAGGAGACCAGTGATCAAGCTCATGCGTGATGGGGCACACAGCGGCGAAGGACAGTAGGCTGAGTCGAATTGAACAGACTCGGCTGCAAGAGCATCCAGGTTGGGTGTCTTGATCTGTGACTCAGGATTGTACATCTTGAGTTGCGGTGCGGCCAATTGGTCGGCCATGATGAAGAGAATGTTGGGCTGCTTCGCGCTTGGTGCACCGTTGCCGTTGGCGGACTTGCCATTGGCGGGCTGCGCCAGAGGCGAAGAGGGAAGTGAGTTGAGGTCGGGAGCCATTGTGCTCGTAGCCAATGCCCGTGAGGAAGATGGATTTTTGAATATTAACTTTTTGAAACTTGACCAAGAGTGACGGAGATGGTGATTGTGGTGTTTCCCGCGCTGCGTCGAGGGAGGTTCTTTGTGTGGAGTATGTGCGCGCGCGAGAGACCGACTGCTTATAAAGGGCCGGTGCGTGTGTGTCAAGTGTGACGATGAGCAATGATTGAAAAGTTTATAAGTGATCAAGCGCGAGGGATGAGCAGTGATTCAGAGGAAAGCACAACCTACTGAACACTTCCGGATGATCTAGAAGAAAGAAGGGAAGTCTATGCACACTCATAAGTGGGAGGAAGCGTCCTTTAAGAAAGTGAGCCAAGAGAGAAGAGAGCCAGAGAGAGCGAGACCACTGGGCCAGTCCCGTCCGTCTCGACGGTCTGCCACCCATGCCCCCCTGGAGCCCGATAGGAAGGGACGACGGGACGTGGAGAACAAGGAGGCAAGGAGGAGGAGCAGCAGCCATACGCTAAAAGGGGGCCACGCCATGCATAGACACTACATATGTATCAAGCGAGGGATCTGTGGGCTACTTGAGATAAGGATACCCCGGACGACGCTGATTCTAAGGTACCTGACTAAGGTACGGATACCGGTACTTCTGCTCAGTGTCCACCTTCGAATTGCCTGGATGCGCCCAAGTGGCTCACCGACTTAGTGGGGCTCTTTCCGACTCACTCATGCAATGTCACGGGGCTACAGCTGCTTCTCTCCTTTGACCCATCCTTGGCAGCAGCTACAGCACCGCGGCAGTGGCAGACAATAAATTTCCTCCCCGGCCACCGATCCAATGGTGAAGAAAGGTGCTTTTGGTCATAAGCCAGAACTGTCTGACAGCAGCCACCCGCCGGTCCCGCCTTACCAAAATTGTTTAGTCACGCTTTGGTCCCGCTTCCTCGACCTTCTTATCCTTTCGCCATTCAATAGGTCATTCGTGTCCGCTCCGCTTACACCGAGTCTCCTACACGCCAACTCGCTAATTACTTGGGTAGGCAGTTCGTTGCCCAGCCTCCAAGGAACATAGGTCGAGCGCAATGCGTCAAAATATGGCGTTTTCCGATCAGCCGATTGCGAAATAACACCTGCGGAGCACCGACCAGCCAGTCACATACTTTGTCAGCATTGCAGCAATATCAACTCGTCGTTGCTGTGGCATGTCACGCTGGAGTATCTGCATCACAAGAAAGAAGCAACTCATACCCGGTCCGGCTCCATTCTGCTTCACTTCGCAACCCTCCTTCGCAATGAGGCTAGTCGCTTTGGCACACCGTGGGAACCAAGCCACTCGAAGCGACGTCGATGGCTATCGGTTTGACTGTGAACAACAAGTCCCACGACAAATGAGAAAGCAGCGCCGGAAAGCCAAATGGTCGGCCAGACCTTCTCGAACAGCGAGCATGGACCGGCTGGTCTTGTGCTATCTCGGCCTCTCGGATGAGTGCTAGGGGGCACCCCGAAGCACTAACAAGCTTCGTTATGCTTCAAGCAGGAATAACAAATTCTCTTCCCATCCGCCTGTCCCCTGCTAACTGGACCCCTGTATCTCGACGACTATACCCTAATGGCCCTCTTGCAGCTGGGTATTTACCCAAAGACCGCCCGCAACCTGCATAAGCGTCGCTCAACCTTGACAGGGCCCCCTCCGATTAGCTGGAGTATTGGGCGGTCCTGTTGTGCTCGAGAGAGGATTCTTTGGATAACGGTCGCTTCGATGGGTCATGCCATCGCTGCACGCACGCGACAAAATTACGGAGCACTCCGTTCACCCTTCAACGACCTCCACTGATAAAGGCACTGAAGCATTAGAAACGAGTATTAAGACATGTTGGGTCCGGTGCAAGTTATCGCGCACATTCACATGAGAGACAGACTTGATAATCGGAGGGAAACGTCTTCGAGTATGTGCACAGTGATGTGATGAAGACCCAATTATTCTGGCCCAAACCCCAGTGCACGCATGCAGGGCACAAACACCAGCACCGTGGTTGCGAGTTGAAGCGAAGCAGGGCACTTCTCCAGTCTCCAGACTCTCAGGTAGATGGGGAACTTTGGCAGGCAGGGGCTGCCGGAACCACCAGGTGACAATTCGCCTCGTTCCCAAATCCCCCTCCTCTGCTTTCCATCTGGCATCTGTACCCCATGCCAAGGCGGCGACATTTAACAACACTCTTGAGGCCGCGTAGAGTTAGTCCACTGTGGTAGATCACCATTTTGCATTTCCACCATCGAGAAGCTCAGGAAATGTCGTGATGGCGTCCACCTCCGACCTCCCGAGCCCCACCGCATCCCACCCCGCATTCGCGAGGCTAACCTCATGGCTGGCCGGTCACGCCATCGGAATAAGTTCTCTTACTCCGGGCGTGGCTCACGTTCGTGCCTCGCACCGCCTCTAAAGTCTGGACGTCTCCGTCCCGGAATGATGTGTCCTCACATCTACTGGTCACCGGCGCACGCACCAACACGCCAGTGAATAACCGTAATACTCGATAAACGCTTACCGCCGGTGTTATGGCCCCGGCTCCCGGTCAAGCCATACCGCAATCACATCATCGCGCTCCAGTATTGCTTCATCAGCTAGACTGCGGATTCCGACTCATATTGTGGTTTCACCCACAACAAGTAATACCGGCAATGTAGCAATGGAGCATCAGCCTCAGCTTCAGCCATCAAGGCTTTTCTTCCGAATTCCCTGCCAGCAAGGGCGAGCATCAAACACTCCGACGATCCGTCCCTTTCCTCCATGCGCTGCCGTATTGCCTTGCACCCCTCCATGCCAACCCGCCGCTTGTTTGCTCAGGTTGATCAGCCTCCATGTTGCACTAGGCGAGCCAACTCGTTTTCGTCTGAGCCGAACCACTCGCTCCGGAGGGCACACTGGTGATCATCTGATGAGCCAGCCCATCACACACACTTTCTTCTCCGCACTCGTTACCTACATGAATGGCGCATATCATCGATTCCTATCCCTCTGGCCCATGGCGTGGAAGGGCGGTATCTCTGTGGGTAACGCACCCTCCATCCCGAACATCCCGTCGACGGACTCGCGGCCACATACGGCACACCATGTATGCCACGCTACTCCTGACCCAAAACAACCCCTCCTCCCTCTAGTCAACGTCGGGCATCTGCACGGTGTGCAGCAAACCCAAGCAACCCTCAAATCATATCTCGTCCTGCTCCGCTGAGACATGGCCAGGGGTCCCCTTAGGAGCACAACGTCACGTTGACCAGCGCACCAACCAACAGCGAACAACAAATCAACCTTCCCTCGTCGAGAAGGCTGACAAGACATGCAACAATCCAGCACATTAATTTACGGCGAAAAGCGTCCTGTGTGCGTTAGGCGCCCTAGACCTTGCCCGCTTGCCTATCTGCACCCTCGCTACGTTGTCAATCACACGCACGCACACACATTTGACAGATAACAGCAGTGACACACCAGAGGCGCTGGACCGGTTTTGACAGAACGATGGTCCTGTGAATCGGACCTGAAGGCAAGCGATCGATAATCGGCCAGAACATCGTCTCCCCGCTCAACCGTCTTGGCTCCGTCTCCTCCCCCCTCCTCTAAGTTTTAACGCTTGGGAATAGATAGAGACCTGGTAAAAGGAGCCGCAATCTGATAATAGCATACACCAGACCAGGAATGCGAACACGCTTCCTTGAAGCTCATTTCCCCAGATCTCGTGGCTTAGCCCGGCTCAAAGTCTCGAAAATCCTCACATGACCACACACTCGCGTTTCGCCGTCGGCTCTTGGCATCCGCACGTGGCCACGGGATCACTTTCCAACTCCATGGCATCCGCGAGGCTACCTTACTTTCCTTCTTTTGCATGCATCACCACAACCCGTTCGGAAACACTATCACGATGCTGCGCCCTCGCCGTCTACAAGCGGCATTACCAGGATTCATCAAGGGGGTAAACCAGGATTCAACAATGCGGTTGTAACATCCAAAAGGTATCTAAAAGAATCCTAGACATTTGGGAAGAAATCTCATTATGCATCATCCCATTTCCCGCCGCATTTCCAAGACTTCCCGCGACCTCATCGGATCCGAGCTTCCCTACTGCTTTTTGGAGGGGATAAAAGCAGTCACACCGCCCCGTGTATTAGACGAATCGTTTCGCTTGAATGGTGTGTTGCTCATATATCCTCTTACAAGCAATGCTTCTCCTCAGTTGATTGAATTTTTGTTACCCCGCAATGCGGTCTCGAATAGAAGAATGAGACGAAAAAGAAGAAGACGGAAAAAAAAAGGAAGAAACCGCCCCTCGCCTTGCTTTGTCAGTCAAAACCCAATATGCGGTTCCCAAGTAACATCCGTCTCATGCATTCCGAGACAGGTAGAGTAAAAATATCCTGCACGCCCACGCCCTATGCGACGACCGCTTCGTGCCCAATTCATCCCATCAATGCATGTCTCATTGAACCCTTTTCTCCTCTCTCATGCTTTCCTTTATTTGTCTCTTTTCTTACCTATGCTGGATTATTGCAATTTTTTTTATTGCGTGCGGTAAAACTTCTTGTAGAGAAGATGCAGCAACAAATTGACATTCAGCTTGAGGGCCCCTTCAAAAAGGTTCATGAACTGGTGGGCCTCGAACTGGGCCTGCAGCAGATCCTCAATGGGTACCTCTGCGCTCGCTCCCGGCATCTGGATGTGGCCGCGGGATCCCTCGAGCGAGAAGATGCCTACTTCGTCACACGAGATGGTGAGGTTGACCCTCTCCCAATCGGTGACGCCACTCCACCCGACGAGCACGCCTTTCTCCGCCAGAGCTCGAGCGCTATATTTGTAACTGCCAAACTTGGGAACCCGGCCGCTTCGTTCCAGTTCGCGCTGATGGTTGTACTGTTTGGTGAACGGAAGCAGGAACCGTTTCTTTCTGTTAAAATGACGAGATTGAGTCAGCGTATGGCGACACACTTGGACCGTGCTTATAATGTGGGGAGGTGGGGGA